TGGTGATCTGAACCGGTCATTGCTGAAAAAAAGCAATTTTAATGCGCAAACTTATACGGGACGCATTTGCCCCCGTTACCGGTGGTCTGCAAGGCGCAGTGTCTGGACAGGAGTGTTAGCATCTAATTTCCCTTAAAGTGATGGGTTTCCCTTAAAGTGATGGGTTTAAGCATGAATTAAGGTGTTTTATTTTCTCATTATTATGGTTGTTGTCGATTGATTTATAGCGGACTGAGTTTTGCGTGATTATGAGAACGCTTTCTTGTAATTGTGAGTTGATTGCATTTTCAAAATGTTTTTTTCTTGTGAATATTTTGCTATCATCAAATAGTTTTCTTGTGATGTGTTTGTTTGAAGACAAATTTGTTTCTCTCTGCGAGATTCAGTTATTATGTTGAGCACTGAGACAATGAGCAGATTAATTGATTGGTTGATTGACAGGAAATTAATGAACTGGTGTCACTGAAGCATCTAATGATGGAGAATTTATTGCAGTTAACGTTGATAATTTGCTCAAAGGGCAGAGAGCTAATTGATCGGTATGCAATCATTGGATTTTAATTGTTATTTTTGTGAGTTTCCACCGTCATGTCCAACACGTCCTCTGACGTTCTGTGATATCATTTCTCTTCATTGGATTGAGGCTGCGATCAGCCGCTCAGAGAACACATTATTATTATTATTATTATTATTATAGTTATTATTAGAGTTCCTATCAGGAGTTCATGTTGTCACCTTCATCCTGTCAGACAGACGAAGCTCAGCGAGGCGTCGACTCTCCTGCTGTCAGATTTAATGAAACACCAGCTGATATCATCAGACTGAAAAACACCTGAACAGGAAATCAGCTCTCTGCGGCTCAGATCAGCTGATATCAGATAAAGAACTATAATTCATCTCCAGTTATTAAAATCAATACTTTCCCAGAGATGTCATGTTTTATTGATCGTGGCCTGCAGTGAATATAAAATCAATCAAACTGCAGGACGTCGTTTGACACAGACGAGTCTCAGAGGGTTATATTTGATTTATTTTAAGATTTTTAACATTAAATAGGGAATATGAGTAACCCAATAAATACACAGGGCCGGTGGGTGGATCAGGCTGCTAGAGCTGGAAATAATTAGATTAATATTACATATTTAGGGTTATAATGTAACTTCTACATATAAGTAATAGGGCTTGGGCGGTATCTATTGTTTCATACCCTCAGACTTTCCGAAATTTCACCGAGGTATATGACGGTATATGACCGTATTAGAGGGTTGTGCAAACCCACCTCTTGGAGTCAAGTTGACCGGTGACTTGAAAACCACTGCCGTATAGTATGTACATAATGTAAATGTTGACTCATTTTTAACATGATGTTAGCAATATTTAAAAGACACTGTTACAATTTAAAGAATGGAAATGAACAAATCCTGTGGCAACGTTGTGTCCCTAGGTTCTCACTTTGAGAATAACTGATTGCTGTGGTTTCCAAAGTAGAGTACCCAGTGTGTCTGACAGAATTTGAATCTCTGTGTCCTCTTGTACCATTTTGTATCAGCTCTCTTAATTCAGAGGTTTCACGGGTCCATGAACGCAGCACAGGCGGAACACTACGTGAGTTCTTTTTTTTTTTCTTCAGCAGCAGTTTGTGTTTGAGAGTTTTGAGCTGCGGGTCGGATAAATTATCAGTCGATCCGATCAGATCGATGGATTAGAGGAGCAGCTGCTGCTCAGTCTGTGCCCAGAGAACGCTCTGCGCTCCCAGAGTGTGGTGCAATGAATAACCAGCAACAGTATGAATGAACGGCCCAGTTACAATACAGTAAATTTCCAATCAATCAATCAATCAATCAATCAATTTTGCCTCACAGGGCTTTACAGCATACGACATCCCTCTGTCCTTAGGACCCTCACAGCGGATAAGGAAAAACTCCCCAGAAAAACCCTTTAACGGGGGAAATTTTAAGTTACATTTTCAGTAAATACACAGAGCCAGTGGGTTGTTTTAGGACAGTAGTGTTGATGACCTCCAGCAAATACATATAGTAGATGGATAGTATAGGAAGGTATGGAAGTGATGACTGTTTACAGCAATTACACAGACCACATGGGTTGTGAAGTGCGTATAGCAGTGATGACTCACGCAGGAAATACACAGAAACAGTGGGTGTTACTGGAGAACAGGGACATGTTCTCAGTAATGACACAAAGCCTACGTGTGGTTCAGGGAATATAGTAGTGATGACTGTTTTTACACAGAACTCAGAGGCGGTTAATTTCCAACAAATACACAGATTCGGTGAAACCTTGGAGAAGTAATCTGACAAAGGGGTATTTCTGGAAGCCTGAAGTGAGTTAAGTGGTCCCAAGAAATACACAGATCCAGCTAACAGAGAGGTGACATTAGTCAGCGACGACTGTGAACGACTGCTGATCTGTTGTGGTTACTGAAAATCCATCAGGCTCCTCGGTGCTGAGGGTAAACAGTGATTTGGTTGCAGAGGTCAGTGAGATGACCTTCGTGGTCAGACTATGGTGAGGGGGGTTTGAAGGGTGTTGGCTCTCAACAGACGACATCCTGCAGAGATCCAGTAATTAGACGGGGCCATGAGGAGCCTCAAATCTGTCCTCATTAAAGAAAAGATTCAAGAACGATGCTGAAGAATCCAGGAGAGCTGGGGTGTGTTTAATTCCTGGAAGCCGTCATGTTCTTCCTGTTAACTCACACTGAGATCAGATAAATAAACTTAATTGTTTCAGCAGTCAGAAGTCACCGTGTGACTCTTGAACGAGAACAGACGTCTTTTGTGTTTGATGTGACGAATCAAAAGACGTGTTTACATATGTGTCATGTTCAGTGACTGTTGTAAAACATGCTCGTATGTGTTCACTGTCAACTGGGAAAAAACAGTGTTCAAAGGAGCTGTAGGAAGCATCAGCTACCTTAATATCTAAAATTCAAACAACAAATACATAAATAACACCAACTCTTAATCACTTACATTAATAATAAACTCCAGGCTCTTATACTAATTAGACTTCCTGTAGATGTTTCAAATTAAAAGCCTTCCAGGAACTTACTGAATCCTTTGTGCAATGTTTTGAATGTTTCTTTTTTACCTGCTGTATGCAGGGTGCTAAATAAGCTTTTATTACCGCCATTATTATTGATCAAAATGTGTATAGGGTGAGAAGGTGATTACTTTAGAGGGGGAACATATTCTGCCCTTTATGAAAATCTCTTTTTTCTAAAAATATATTGAAACAGAACCTCAAACAGTGTAAAACATGAACTCACAACTCGTCCATTGTGAACCAGGTGGTTTCTTGTGTTCAGACTGTAAGCAGGAGAGATGGAGGTGACCTTTTTGGCGGTGCGGTCTATTTAATGGATCTGAATGATTCATGAGTCTGACTGTAGGAGATTATTTCACTGCTCATCTGGAAATGTATTAAATATTACAAGAATTTTTTTAAGTATATTATGAAGTCGGTGCATCAAGACCTTTATTTCAAGAGTATGGATTTTTTTTTTAATGCTTTTCGCTGTTTGTTTTTTATTTTGTTTTCAGGAACAGAAATGAAACAATTATGTTCTCAAATATAAAGAGTTTCTTGTAGAGCTGAAATGATAAATAAATAAAAAATGAAATGATTAATAATAGATTAGCATTTTGATATTTGATGAATTGTCAATTGAAGTGAAATGCAAAGATTTATTGGGTTCCTTCCTTCGATATTTATAAAGTAAATAAAAGTGAGGTTTGTCACTTTTTTTTGAAACTTAGATGGACATTTAACCTTTTTTGGCATTTTATGGACAAAAAATACATTTAAATGTGAAAGAAAAATTCATCTGCATATTAATTGAGTATCTCACCTCACCTTATTATTTGACTTACTGTGAGGAAGTTTGGGGCAACACTTAGAAAAGCAACTTATAACCATTATACATCCTTCAAAGGACAGTACACAGTGTGGGGTCCAGGGAACACACCAACACACTGTTTTTAAAGTCTTGTGCGTTGAAATTTCTCGATCTGGTCAAATTTAAAACAGCAATTATTTAAAACGAGAACTAAACTACTTCCTGGCAACATTCAAAAAATGTTTTGTGACAATTTAGTTTTAAAAAATGTGTTTGCGCAGCTAAGGAGAGTCTTTTTGTGTTATGGAAGTGCATATTTATTCTGTAACACTGGGTGGCACTTGGACTGTAAATAAACTGGGTTTATTACGTATTTATTTAACTGGGTGGTAAATAGACTGGGGATAGTTTTGTATTAGTTGTAAATAAATTTGGGAATCTGTTGAAATAATATAGTTAACAGCAGAAATGTAAGAAAGGGTAGGAACACATAAGTTTTACTTCTACCTACTCCTTTTCGGACACTATTGTCTTTGTCTTGTTTGTTTTTTATTATGTTTTATCTATTTTTGGTTCGAAATGAAGTCATTCGTTCATTAATCAAGCCAGTAGCATGTCAGCTTTTCTCCTTAAGTATGAAATGTCTCTCCATCTTTTAGAAGTGTTGGTGGAGGTTTGCTGTGTGCTACAGATGGAATGCCACTCATCTCCCGACAGATTAATATTTAGTTCTGCTTCCCATTGTGATAAATACTTTTTACATTTTCAATGAAACTTTAAGGAAAATACATAAGTGTGTTTATCACAACCAGTTTTATTTTAAGGAAACTTAAAGTTGGACTTAAGGGAAAATTTTAACTTAAGGGTTTTTGTGCAGCTGCCGCCAAATTTTGTCTCTCCTGGTCGGGATGTTTGTACTTTTCCTGACATGTCTTTACCGTCAACTATCAGATCAATATTGAATATCCAAACCTTAGCTTCTTTTTGTTACATAAGGCTGAAACTTGAGATTTGTCTTGAACTCCCCACCACACACTGAAACTCCAGCAGATGTTTTTGACTTCTTGAATTAATGGTACAGATTTATTTTGTTGTTGTCTTCATGTCCCAGCTCATGACGGACACTTTCTTTGTGTTTCAGAGCGTGTCGGCGTTCCAGTTGTCGGTAAACGATGACGGACTGATTGTGGTGGCGCTCGAGAGTTCGGACCTGCAGGAGAACGCCACAGCGTACGCCGCTCAGATCTCCGGAGAGCCTCGACCGATCCTGGTTCAGTTTGTGAACACCAGTGAGCCTCTGCTGTTCAACACGTCATATCATGGTCTCTGCTACACTGTGGGGCTACTGGTTAAACTGGGACAGAGCTGGTCCAGACCTGTCAAGACTGTGTCTGTGCTCACACGTAAGAAACTGGAAATCTCTTAAATATGATATAAGTTTTATTGTAGAAGAGACAAAAGGAACATAATAAATAATCCATGATTATTCTTTTATAACAGTTATTTATTTCATAACCAAACTACTATTTATTATATAACCACAATGTTCAAAATGGATTTTTCTAATTATTCAGTGTTCATGATCAACATAAGATAATTCCTTTTGTCTTCATATAATCGTGCAGTATACTATTTTAATGTGAAACCTTGTGTTGGTACATACATAGAAAATAAATCTCAAAATATTTTACCATAAAATTCCATTAATTTACCCATTCATTTTTTAGTAATTAAAAATGTAAATTCAATTTTAAGGGTAAAATTTGAATACTCTTAAAAATGACTAGACGAAAGCATCCCTTAAGTCATACCTCGAGAATTGACCTTAATTTTTCACTATTTTGAAGTGTTTCAACCTCTTTAAAAAATACCTTAAACTGGTTAGACAATACATTAAAATCTTAATATAATATATAATTAAGCCTTAAATTTACAATTTGAAAAAAGGATTTGATTTCTTCTCTTTAAAGTAGTGGACAAGTTAAGGACTTCGGCTACCGATAAGTTTCAGGGGTTTCAGGGTTATGTTCAGTTATTATGGGTAAATTAAGATTAATCTAATTTTTTACACTTTAAAACTAAATTCCTTAAATGTATTAACCCTAAAATTGCATTGATTTATCTATTAATTGCTCTGTGGTAAGTGTTTTATTTTATTATTTTTGGCTTAAGGTGTAAAAATCCCTTAAAAATTGTCTAAAAAACGTGAAAGCATCCCTTAATGTATACATTTCAAAGATTAAATTTTTTTTTTCAGTTAACTCTTTGGTACATTTTTCAACCTCTTAAAGGGATAGTGCACCCAAAAATGAAAATTCAGCCATTATCTGCTCACCCATATGCCGATGGAGGCTCAGGTGAAGTTTTAGAGTCCTCACATCCCTTGCAGAGATCGGCGGGGGGAGCAGCTAGCACACCTAATGGCAGACGGCGCCCCAGACTAACGTCCAAGAACACAAAATTGAATCCACAAAGTATTTCCATACTGCTCATCCATAGTGATCCAAGTGTGCTGCAGCCCCGACATAAAAAGTTGTTTAGATAAATGTCATATGAACTCTGTTTTTAGCCTCACTGTAGCCTGTAGCTCTGACTGCTTCTCTGTGCTCCGCACTCACGTGTGCGCGCCTGCGCGAGACCAGCGAAAGCATGAGCTTTGCTTATCCGTATTTACATCACGTGACACGTGCACCGCAGGGGGATACAACGTAACCACAGTAGCTAAAAGATAATTTGCACTACGGCCTTTTAGCAAAGGACAGCCCAACATGTCTGAAGACTTTGAAATTGAGGAGGAACAGCATTTCTTTGTTGAGCCGTATTTGTTTGAGCCCGAGTATACGGACAGAACTCAGGCTACTGGACGAAGCAGCCGCTGCAGCTCATGAGCCTAACCCTCAGCCAGCCGCAGAATACCGGAGTCGAGCACTGGAAACCTGGTGGTGTAGTTGTTTCAAATGCAAAGCAATGCCAACGGATGAGGAAAGTCTTTGCTGCTCAGACTGGGAATTGGTGATGCCTGCACTTGAGAATCTGGACATCAGTACTGACGAGACTGTTGCTCTTCAGAGACCGTGCATCACCGATCACCCTGAGCGCGCACACGTGAACGCGGAGCACAGAGAAGCAGTCACCAGGGCCTCTGTCGGCATATGGGTTGATAATGGCTGAATTTTCATTTTTGGGTGCACTATCCCTTTAAAAACGCCTTAATCTGTGCAGACAATGCATTTCAAACTCCTTAATATATCATGGTCGTTGGTTTATTCATTCAATTTTTGTGGTTTTTGCTATTCATTCTTTCTTTGGATGAACTGTACAGCACTTTGGTCAACCGAGGTTGTTTTTAAATGTGCTATATAAATAAATTTTGACTTGACTTGATTAATTGGAATCCTAAATTGTGATTAGGCCTTTAATTTACAATTTGATTACAAAGTTTTGGGTTAATGTATACATTTTTTTGCCTTAAAATCCATTAATTTAACAATTAGTTGTTCTGTATTTGGGTATTTGAATATTTTTTTTATTTAAGTGGTAAAAAGTATTGTCGTTTCATTCACTGTAAAACTTAATCCCTTATATTTCATCGCTTTACTTTTTAATAAAGATGTAATAAGATTTTAAGAGAATTTAATGTTTGTGCAAAAAATTTCATGTGAATTTTTATAATTTTAATGTAATATAATCCAGATGTCTGAAGTGTGATCTCTTCTGTCTCCTCAGAGCCACTTCCTGTCCGCAGTGTCCACATATTGGACTATAAGGAGTCTCCAGAGACAGGCGTGGTGTTTGAAATCGAGCCCCCGGCCGGAAACATCTTCAGCAGAGTCAACATCAGCTACACAGAGGGACAGGAGCGACGGTCGATGCTCTATAAAGGTACAAGAAACCATCAGTAAACAGGAAATTCTTTCACTTTAATAAATGTAATAAATGGTTAATAACACACTGTGAGGTTATGTTTTCGCCGTCGTTTGTCTGTTTGTTTGTCTGCAAAATAACTCAAAAAGTTCTGAACGGATTTTGATGAAATTTTCAGGAAAGGTGGATAATGGGACAAGGAACAGATGATACAATTTTGGTGGTGATCGGTTGAAACAAAGTGGATAAAATAATAAATAAAGTCTATCGTCTGACAGCCTCAGCAGCAATTCCAATTTCTAAAGATGGTGAAAATAGCGCCATCTGGTGGCCGGACAGCACGTCTTGTTCTGCTCGCTAAATATTGTTGTAATTCTAAAGTTGAAATTAATGTTCTGTGTTGGAAAAAAAGAAAGTGAAAAATACAAAAAAACATATTATATTCGAAATAAATACACCACAGTGTCTCCATGGTGAAGGCATATATAACCTAATAATGATAGTGATGCAAATAACCTAATTGTGATGCAGGCTGCAAAATCTGATGCAGAGGGGGAGGGAATATCACCTACTTGGCGGAGGTCTGCACTCTCTGAGTGCTTTTCTAGTTTGTACATGCTTTTACTTAAGTAATATTTTGAACGTTGTATTTTCACTTCTTCTGGATTGTTTTACTGTGTTTGTGCTTTTCTTAGTCTTTAAAGTTTTAAGCTAAATGTCCTCATCATCCAGAATTTAAAATGATATATATTTGTGTTTGTGTGTGTGTGTGTGTGTGTGTGTGTGTGTTTGTAGATTTCTACAAAGGGAAGACGGTGTTCAAACACTGGTTACCAGGCATGTGTTACCGTAACATCACCTTCCAGCTGATCTCCGAGGCCACAGTGTACCAGACTGCTCTGGTGACACAGAGTGACATCACACACACACCTGTGCACCACAGGACAGGTGAGACGCAACACAGTGACGTCACACACACTCCTGTGAGTTCTTCAGTCTGATGTTGAGTCGGTGTAACATCCAAGTTAAGGTGCACAAAAGGGTTTGATTTACTCATAAAATTACTTTTACTTAGTTTTCTGGTGTTATTCTTTAATATTTGTGACATCATGTGGTCATTTCGTCGTATCGTAGCACAAAGAGCAAAAATTCCTTCTAAGAGTCAACTGTTTTTGCAGTGGAAGGAAAAAATACTTTGAATTTTACAAGTTTGAATTAGTCTTGGTGCTTTTCTGTAGATCTCACCTGAGGTTATTAATATTACAGTGACAAGAAGTCACTCATATCACTGTAACAGCAACATTTTAAGGGTATATTTTGTAGTTATGAAGGGTGTGTGGCAGTGTTTAAGATGTTAAGAGAAATGCTTCTTTGTCTGCTAATCTTCAGAAAAGTTCTTCATATAATTGTGCAATATACTATTGTAATGTGAAACTTTGTGTCAGTACATAAAACATAAATCTCAAAATATTTACCTTTAATATTCCATTGAATTACCCATTAATTGTTTTATAATTAAATATTTTTTATTAAATTTTTAAGGGTACAAATTTAAAAACTCTTAAAATTGGCTAAATCACATGAAAGGCATCCCTTAAGTCATACCTTGAAATTATCTTAATTTTTCACTTATCTATTTTGAAGTGTTTTAACCTTAAAAAACACCTTAAACTGGTTAGACAGTACATTAAAAACTTAATAAATTATAATCCATTGATTTGTTCAATTATTACAACCCAAATCTGTGGGGAAGCCATTAATTTTTTTAAAGGGATTTGTTGTCTTCGTTTTTGAATTAAAGGACAAATTAAAGACTTCTTTATCTTTGTCTCTTCATCTTCAATACAGCAACACACAAAATCCTGAGATCTTTCTGGTATTTATCCTGGAAAAAGAGAGTCATTTTTAGCAAGGATTACTGGAAAAACTGTGACCTTAATTCCTAGTATTCAGCTGTAGTACAGTTCTAGTACAGTAAAGCGTCGATATGGCTGATACTTAAAAAACATGGAGGTTTAACACTCGCTGGTGTTGAAAGGAGTTTTTCTGTTGAACACTTAAGGTTATTGCTAATTAAATTCAGTCCTCTCATTAGAGGATTATTATAGAAGCAGCAGCAGATTAATGAGACAATAAATACAGTCTGACTCATACGGAGTCGCCTCCTGCTGCGTCTGTGCATTATTGATACGATATAAACAGCTGCATCAGTCATTACTGTCATCACGTCTCCTCACATCCACTAATGAGGGAAACAACTCTCACGTCAATGACCACAGTCTATTTACTGACAGAGCTCAATATAGATATTAGAATATTTATACTATGTTAAATGGTAACTTTTCAACCTGAACTCTGTTTCCGCTTTTTTGGTGTCTAAGACACTTTTTATGAGTTTTATTTTGTTTCTGTTGACTTTAGATTAAGTGCGTTTAATGATGATAAAATTACTGTTTATGTAAATGGAGTCTGGTGGGTTTTGTGTTTGCAATTTTTGGGCTGACACAGAAACATTGGGAAGATGGTGTACAGGTTGAAAAATAGCAATGTTATCCTTTAAGGTTTAGCCACAGAAATTAATCGAATAAATACATTAAGGGATTTTTATTGGGCTTTGTATATAGATTAAGGTTGCTTTACATATTTTGAAATACCCTTAAAATATACAATACGAACATTGCCAGTAGGAATTAAATTGGACTTTGTGCAAATTCCAGGGTTTAACTTAAATTTATTAATGTAATAATTAATGAAATGATTGGCACAGTTTAAGGTGTTTTTTTAAGGTTTCTTTTTATCCAGGTTTTGTGCAGCATGAAAGTGTCCCAGAAATTTCACCTTATGTGAAACATGAGAGTCCTTTTAAAGTATAATTGACGACTTTCATCTGATTTTGTCAGTTTTTACTTAAATAGATTAATTTATCAAAATATTTCTTCCTTAATTTCCATTAAAATCCCTTAATTATTACATAGGTATTGAGAAGTATATTAATTGGATTTTTAAGGTATAAATGATGATTTTCATGTGATTTGTTCAAATTTTTACATCTTAAAAACCATATTATATTGATTTATCCATTTATTTTGTTCTTTAATGTCCCTTAAAAACCCTTTAATTATTACATAGGTATTGAAAAGTAAGTACTTGGAATTTTCTAAGGTATAAATGATGATTTTCCTGTTATTTGTTCAAATTTTTACATCTTAAAAACCTGAACCTAATGACAGTAATTAAATCTAGTTTCATATCTTTGGGATGTTTGGATTAATGAAATAAAAACCAGTACAACCACTGGTTTGCTTCTTTAATTTCTGCTGTTGTCTCACCTGTCCCTCTCTTCTGTTGTCTCACCTGTCCCACACTGTCTCCGTCTCAGTGCCCTACCCGCCCCTCAACATTTCCCATAAGATCGTCCACCTGAGCCAGAGGGAGCTGCCAGGTGGAGCCCCTGACACGCTCCCTCCTGAGGGGAGCGAGGAGAGCCGGCGAGCCTCCCGTCGAGCCAGGGACGTCCCTCTGATGGAGGAGCAGGAGGAGGAGGAGGAGGAGGTGCACACTGAGGAGGAGAACACTGAGGAGGAGGTGGTGGGAGCTGTCACTCGGGCTCCCTTCGGCCCAGCACACAACATGACAGGCACCAACGCTGTGAACCAGACGACAGAGACTCGGAGCTACTGGCTGGACCCGACTGATGCAGCTCCTTCAGATCGGGAGGAGGAGTTCGTTAACGCTGTGGTATCGGAGTATGAAGACTCCAATGAGCCCGGCTCAGCTATGGGTCTCCCCGCTGAGGCCGCCATCCTGCCCACCAAACTGCCCCCCATCCTGCTGGAGCTGCGCTGGCTGCCGCCCAGACCCCCGACCAGCTACGATGGCTTCAACATCTACATCTACAGAGACGGTACACTGGGGGGGCGTCAAGGACACGAGGAACTTTACAATCATAATAATGATAATGGAACTGTTTGTAATATACAGCTAGACAGCTCACCTGTCCTCTTCTGTTCTCAGGTAACTCCACAGAAACGGCCACCGTGGATGAAAACACTCACGAGTTCTTCACCGAGTTAACGGAGCCAGGAACGTACCGAGTCCAGGTCACCACTCTCAGCTCGTCTGGAGACTGTGAGGCCCGAGAGAGCACCACCGACACCGGCTTCACCTTCTACCTCAGTACGTACACAACACAACCACATCCCTCAATGTGTTATGTGAAAGTGCCATTAATTAATTCATCAATACTGTCATCAGTAAGGTGTTTTTAATGGGCTTTAAGGTGAGTTATTTAAGAATAAATTAAAGGTCTGTAATGCATTATGGCACTTTTATGTTTTAAGGGCTTTTGAAAGGGTAAAAAAAAACCAAGATTAACGAAAAAATTGTTTGAATGATTGAAAACGACTTAATCAATGAATACATTACATAAATATAATATATTTATATATTATATTTATATTTATTTATATTTATATATGTATAATAATACATAAATTATATTTATGTTTAAGGTTTTTAATGGATTAAGCACTTGGTGAATTTAAGGTGGATTTTAAGATGTTAAAAGAATGAAAGTCATCCTGACTCAAAAATATTTTAATGTATAAATTAAGCGATGTTTTAATGGTTTTTGCTGTGGACCCAAATAAAGCTTTTGATAATAAATAAATAATAATAATACTGTCATAACTAAGGTGTTTTTAATGGGCTTTAAAGTGAGTTATTTAAGAATAAGTTAAAGGTCTGTTAATGTTTATGTTTTAAGGGCTTTTTAAGGGGTAAAAACTTAAGATTAACCATGATATGATGGAATGATTGAAAACTACTTAATTCATGAACATATTACATTATATTTATATTCAAGGTTTTGAATGGATTTAGTTCATGGTGAATTTAAGGTAAATTTTAAGAGGTCAAAAGAATGACAGCCATCACTTAATTTTCCCCTGAATTAAAAAATGTTTTAATGTATAAATTAAGGGATGTTTTAATGTTTTTTGCTGTGGACCCTCTTGTGAGTCTGAAATAAAGTTTTTAATAATACATAAATACTAAAAAATAATTATATTTGTTGAATTTGAATTTTTTTTAACCTTAAAAAAACCTTTAAAAATTAACTGCATTACATCACAGAAAAAATAAAGATATTTAAAGGAAGAAATTAAGGGATTTAGTTCAAAATGTGAATCTAACCTGTTATTCAACACATCATATTTACAAAAGTAATTTCATGAAGAAACTTTTAATTTGTGTTAAGAATAAATCCCTGACTCTGAACTCAGAAACAGTCTTTGTGGCTTTTTAGCACCATAATAAACCAGTACTTGTGTGTTCCAGGTCCTGGTGGTGAGCTGCTGGAGGAGCTCCGCGAGCGTCCTCAGGCCGTCAGCGTCAGACTGCTGGACTCCAGCACCGCCGCCGTCTCCTGGGCTCCGTCCTCTGAGAACCACAACGGCAGCCTGGTGTCAGTGGTTTCCACCACCTGCCTCAGACCGAGTCTCAGCCAGAGGATGGAGAACACGTACTGCAGCGAGGTAACAGGCAGCACTGAGAAATGTATTTAATATGTTTTATAAAAGGAAATGCCAAAGACGAAGCGAACAGTGGGGCAGCAGGCGCTCAGTCTGTGGGGACTTGGCTCAGGAACCAGAGGGTCACTGCCACTGGTGGAAAAAGTGCAAAACTCTAGGATCAGTGTTGGTCAATGTTTGAGCTGAGCTACTAGTTACTCTCCATCAAAATAAAGTTTCACTACACTAAGGTAATCCCCAGATGAATATAGCAGCTAAGCTACGAGAAAATGGCAAAAGTAACATGTGACTTACAAAGCTACTTTATTTTTTTACTTTATGTCAAATCAGGCAGGCAAAAAATGTTAAGATAGAGTCAGATGTCCCTTAAGGTTTTTTATTTTTTATTTTTCCAATGCAATGGTCAGGGGATTCCTTAAGTATAAGACCAAGACGAGGAGGAAATAAGTGAACATTTTTAGGAAACCTTCAGGTTGTTTTGTGCAGCTAATCTTATTTTGAGGAAACTTTAACTAGGACTTTAAGTAAACTCTTAACTTAAGGTGTTTTGGGTGCAGATACTCAACAACCGTACTTAAGTATAGTACTTTAGTAAATGTACTTTCTTACTTTTCACCACTGGTTCTCGCCTCAAGACCCTGTACCGATTAAGTACTGAGTGTGGACTAGCAGCTGGAGAGGTGCCAGTCCATCTCCTGGGCTCTGCCAAAGTGCCCTTGAGCAAGATAGGAGATTCAGAGGCTAATTAATGGATGGATTAATAATTTTTTTTAAGGTATTTTACTTCTAAAATTTTAATTATCTGCACACTTTTAAGGGATTTTAATGGGTTAACAACACGTAAAAAAAAAAAAGAATAAATAAAAATAACAAGAGAGACATCTCTTAACTTATACCTTTAAAAAGACCTTAACTTTTCAATATATATGGAAATTCAGGGGGGGGAAAAATGTATATATTATGTAATTATATATGTATAAATAATATACATTTATAAATAATAATACTATAATAATAATTTATAAAGCAAATAAAAATCTTAATCTTAGACAAAAAAAACATACATTATTGTTAATAAATAATAATAAATAATTTTTAAGTGTTATTTTTTTATTTAATCTTTATTTAACCAGGTTTGTCCCATTGAGATCAAAGATCTCTTTTACAAGAGAGACCTGGCCAAGTGTGTAATGTTGAAACTATTCTACTAAAGAAATTTAGGCTTAATAAATTATTATTTTTGCCTTCTCTCTGTAAGTAAAATGTGCTTTGGTTACATGTTAAATACGTCCAAACTGAAGGTTTTATTATCTTAATATCATGTTTATTTAATCGATCTATAAACTGGCATTTTTCTCAGGACACAGAGATCTGCACTCTCAGCAGTATTTAACCCTTATACTTGATTTAATATCTATAAACACATAATCCTGCATCTTTATTTAACATCTCTGTGATGCAGAAAACAACCAGCTGAGGGTTGTCGAGTTGTTGTTGTTGACTCAGTTTTGAATGAATGAATCTGAGATGAAGTTTGCAAACATTCAGACAGTGAAGTGTGAACCGTCTCAGCTTATGTTCGACTTGGAGGTGTGAAAACACGAATGAGGTGTGAAACTGTCCGGCTGTTTCCAGCAGACTCTGTGTGTGTCGATAACAGAACAGGTGTGACCTCAACTATCAGTGTTTCATTAATATTTCACAGTTTATTTATTAAAAAACAACCAATATTTGAGCTTTTAATGAAAATGTATTGTTCCAGTTTGTCTCTAAGCATCTACCAAAAAAGATCCAGCACACTGTTATGGCCACAGTAATATTGACGTCTAAGTCTTTATATTTTATTTAGAAAGTTGTAATATATCTAATAGCTGAAGTTCGTACTGAGTCACTGTGTTTTGTTATTCTGTTTTTCCTTTCTGTTGATCTAAAAGGCTACAGGCTTTTTGCATGTGGCTTGAGTTTGTTTGTATATGTAATACTTTTTTAGATGAAAATCAGATATAGTTTAATATATAAAAGCCATTAGAGTATTATAAGAAATAAGTTTTTAAGAGCAAAATATAATATTACTGTTTACTCCAACACAGTATTTAACTAAACATTTTTTTATTTGTTGTATTATATTTAAAGTTTTGCTTTATAAAGTCAGAACTATGTTTCCCAGTTTTCTTGTAAATTACATCTTTCTTGTCATGATTTTAACTTTATTCATGATGTCAGTTTTTTTCCTTGTAATATACAACTTACTTGTCCAATTTCGTGGCTTTTAATGAAAATAATACATTTTTTTCTACGTCATTTTCTATTATTTTTTAACTTCATCCTTGAGAAATCAAGACTTTTTTGTACAGTTAAAATTGTATTTTTTTTATTTTTCTTGTCAAAAATGTTTACTTTAAAACATTATAAGTGAATTCTTGACTTTTGAAAAGAAATCAATTAAATTTGTTTTCACAATATTACTTTTTCGTAAATTCCAACTTTTTCTTATGATTTTAACTTTATTCATGTTACCACCTTTTGTAATATACAACTTAATTTTCTAATTTTGTGGCTTGTAATGAATAATATACTTTTTTTCATGTTAATTTTCTGTTATATTTAAACTTTTTGAGATATTAGGACTTTCTTGAACATTTTATTTTATTATTATTATTTATTTCTTGTCAATTATAACTTTACTTTCAAAACTTTGTGAGTAAATTCTTGACTTGTTGAATTATTTAATTAATAAGCTTTATTTAAAGTTTTTTTTTGTGAATAACAATTTCACTTCCCTTTTGAAATATTTCGATTTTGTCTTTAAATGTTGATGCAAACTTTTTTCTTGCAAAATAACAGCTTTTTATTTTTATAAAAACAACATTGTCCTGCGTAAATTGCAACTTTTTCCTCCAAATGTTTTTTCCTAATATTGCATTCATTTTTCAAAATTACGACTTTATTCTTAAAAATATTTCAGCTGCATTCTGTTGTTGTATCAGCAGGTTGAACTTTTTCTTTTGTTTATATGCTGTTTTTACAGGAAAACACCACGAGTGACATCATCACTAACCTGACGCCTGGGGCTCAGTACAGAGTGGTTGTCTATCACACCAACGGACCCCTGATGAGTCCTCCGTCTGAACCCGTCATCATTGATATAGGTGAGCAACACCTCACCTGTGTTAAAGAAATGTATCACATCTAATCTGCTGTGTTATTTATAGTTTGTATTGCTGCTGTCCAGCTGTGTTTTATAATAAGCTGCTACAGAAGATCTAATTAACAAGTTTTCCTTTTGTTACTGTTGGTAATGACACGTCACCTGCGCGTGTGTTTGTGTATGTGTGTGTGTGTGTGTGTCAGAGCCCACAGGTGTGCTGGAGCTGGCTGTTTACCCTCTGAGTCCGACGGCAGTGATCCTAAGCTGGCAGCGTCCGTACCACGTCGCCTTCAGGAAGTATGTCCTGCAGACCTTCTTCTTCAACCCCGTCACGCTGGCATCAGAGTGGACCACCTACTACGAGATCGCCGCCACCGCCTCCGTCATCGCCTCCGTGGTAACAAACACACACACACACACACACACACACACACACTCCAGTGACGTGTACATCAGTGTTCAGGTTCATTTAGAAGCATCTATTACTTTATCTCTAAGTGTCCTCGTAGTTTCTGTCTTTACTAGTATTCTCGTGGTAGAGTTGTCATGATGCAGGAATTTCTAACTTTAAAGGGCCAGTGTGTAATATTTGGCATGGTTTATTGTCAATCTGAATCTGAATCTGAATATTCTACCCATTAATATGTTTATACAAGTGTATGATCGCTATAAAATAAAATTTGTTTGGTTTTCGTAGCCTTATAATTATGCTTTTATATATATATATATCAAGGGCCTTGCTTTAGAGAGGTCGCTATCTTGCGCCGCCATGTATGTACGGCAGCCCGAGCGGACAATCCAGCCAGCCAGACAACGCGTTTCGTGTGTATAAATGAACCAACGAAGACAGCAGAAGGAAGGAAGAAGGAGGAAGAAACAGCAGAGAGTGTTAGTAGTTCGTCGATAGAGAGTAGTGAAAAGTTTTTTTTTAGTTATAAAGTTTGCGAATGGACCACACTTATCACGCAACAGGAGAGAATGAACCCGAACCGTCATCTGCGAGGAAAAGAAGACGCAACTTCACTCCTTGTGATGCACTCTCTGTGGCGCTTTTCCTCCTGATGATATATCTCCCCAACGATGGTAGCAGTAGCACCGAATCCCATTCTGTGCATTCAGCCTCTCTTCTCGCCCGCTCAGCATCAAACACATGGAGTTCCTCATCTGTATGCTCCGGCTCAAACAGGTATGGCTCTGGGTCTGTGTCCGCTACAAAAAACTCTTCAATATCGCATTCAAAGTCTTCCATTGCAGCTACTATAGTCCAGAGATATTGCTAGGCTAAATAAACAGCTGAGCTCTGTTTACAGGCTACGCTGTCAGTCAGTGTGCGGGCTGGAGATTGGTGGTGCAGAGAGGGGAGGGGGTACCCGCTTGGTATTGTAAATGAGAATGTGTGTGTATGAAGTGTGTCTGTTACGCTAGAAGAGTCAGAGTTTGGGACGGAGTGGAGTGTTACCGGAGTTTCTGGAGTGCTCAAATAAACTGGCCTTTTTCCCGAACGCTCCTCTGGTCTCCTGCTCGTGAGGGATTCATTACAATATCGTAACATGGTTTAGATTTCTAAATAAATATTCACCTCGTCACTAGATAGACCTACTCCTGAAAAAGTCGTGCGCAAGGCTTTTTGTCCCTACGAGGCCACCGTCATTTACCCAACGGGAGGGGTGAGCGAGTGAGCCCTGCAATCTAGAATTTGACCACTGATGTCACTGTTTTCAACCCATTTTACACACTGGCCCTTTAAGTATGCTGAAAATATCAAAAGATACCAAAAGGTCAAAGACCAACTTCACTGACACCATGAAACACTTTTCTGACCATGAAGCTGGATTTATACTCGTGCGTCAGCTCTACACAGAGCATACGCTGTAGCCTACACCATTAACATTACACCATACACTAGTCGGTGATGGAGATTTCTGTGAAGTTTAGTTGATTCAAAACACACATTAAACACACATTAAACATGGCTTAATAGAGACAATTTCAAACACAAGTACACAAATCAGCTTCGCTATAACTCGCAGCATTCACAGACAAACACTTGTCTTTATCTGGACACATTTTTCCCACAAATACAACATGCTAACGTTATTAGCACAAGCCTATGGTATTTTACATTGTATAAATTAGCCTAGCAGCTAACAGACATTTCCTCTACTCATATGAAGCCAGGGACAACAGCAACATTTAACAAATGTAACGTTACAAAATTCAGCTCTATTAAAACTCACAAGGTTCACTGACAAAACAACTGTCTTATACTAAACACGCTTTCCAAACAAATACAACATGCTAACGTTATTAGCACAAGCCTATGGTATTTTACATTGTATAAATTAGCCTAGTTGCTAGCAGACTTTTCCTCTTCTCATACTGAAGCCAGGATAAATCACACACAAGACTTAAAATGCTATTTTTGTGGAGGCTTTATTGTCTTCACAATTTATTGTTTCTTATCCCCCCATAAGACGCCTGATTCATTATCAGTTTTTCTTGTGTGTTTTCAGAGAGTGACGGATCTGCTGCCGGCCTGGTATTATAATTTCCGTGTTTCCATGGTGACGTGGGGCGACCCGCCGCTCAGCTGCTGCGACAGCTCAACTGTCAGCTTCGTAACAGGTACAAAAATACAAACTGTCATTATACCGAGAGCTGTTTCTGCTCCGTGTGTTGGGATAGTTTCACAGTGCAGAGGGGAATTAAAGTCCTGTTTATATGAATCTCTGACAACATGTCATCGAGCCTTACTGTTAGCAGTTAAACCATGATGCAGCTTCAGCAGGTCAAATAACCACGTGTACACCACAGAGTAGCTGGTGTGTGGAGACAAGTGAAGTCAAATGTCAAAATATGAATTACCTTTCAAATTAAAAGATCCAAATACTGGATGAGTTTAATTATTTGTTGGTAGTCAGCATGAATACATATATGTAATATATACTGTCTCATAATACATTCAGTATAATGAATATTTCATTATAGTGAAACTCATCTCTACCTGCAGATATTTCACAATAAAAGCAGACTGTGAAAGAGAGGGTTTGTGTCCTTTGAGACACTCGAAGGCTCTTATTGTGACACAGTTGTGCAGGAACTGTTGAGTTTCATTCACAGTAGGACAAGGAGAGATAATTACATTGTACATTTTAGCATAGTGCACACTGTGCAACAGGCCTGCAACTAATGATTATTTTCACACGGTGAGTAATATGTCGATTATTTTCTCGATTAATCAATCTACCCTTCGCTAAGTCCCGCCCCTGGGCGCAGACTGGCCAATCATAACGTAGCATCGGGTCGCCTCAGACCAGGGTCCGTCAACAACACAGCTGTGCTCCATCATTTCAGATTTCCTTCATTTTCAGGCTGGTTTTGTGGATTTGGAGCTAAATGTTGTGCCTGGGGCACGTCGTGTATTAATGATACTCGTTACCTGGAGAGGTTGGAAAAAGATATATGTTTCTTCCCTGTTCCAAAACCAAAATCATACCCTGAAAAGTGTAGGGTTAGCTAGCTAGCTACTGAAGATATAGCCTACTGAATGTATACACATGCTGCTGTTGCTTTGTAATGATTATAACAGTGAAACAAAGACCGACCCTGCTGTACAGGAACCAGTGAAGGGAAGCAGGGGCACACACTACGATGCCACACAGCTGGTTCAATATCAGCAGAGTTTCCCTTTATATTCATTGTCTTGTGTGGCGATCAGCAGTGATGTGGTGGTTCACTTTTACACTGTGATCTGTAGCCTATAGTTCTTCTTTAGCTTCTAACTTTCTTTGTCTTTTTAACCTGTTGTTGCTGCTGAGTCAGTTTGACATCCTGGATATATCGTTCAAACACAGACTGTAGACCCCTCTGTCTGCTGCTCTCTGACATCACTGTTTTCATTCGTCCAAAAATATGATAATATGTCTTCAGGGAGCGCAGTTAGTTACAGTGTGGGCTCCATGTTTGCTGCGACAGCTTGTCGGACCATCAAAAGGGGTGGGGCTTAGGGAAGTGTTTCCCAAAGCTCAAGACGGCGTACTCAAATGTTTTGTTTTGTCCTCAACCCAAAGACATTCAGTTTGCTGTCAAAGAGGAGAAAAGAAACCAGAAAAAATTCATATTGAAGAAGCTGGAATCAGATAATATCGACATTTTTTTTCTTAAAACATTACTCAAACCAACTTATTGATTATCAGATTAGATAGCCATTAATAGCTGGCAATAGTTGTTCTCTTTTATTTTTGGAGTGACAGTGCATGGTGTTGATCAATATCACTGTAAATGTGTTAGTGTAAATTAAAATGTAAATTTATCCATTAAAACAAATATGATAGAATTTAGGATTTAACCTGTGAATCAGATTTAACTTGATAAAGTTAACGTTAAAGCACAAAACAAAGAAAAAACATAATCACTGGTGAATTACAAATGTTACTTTACTAAAACATCAGCATACTTTTTGTTTGATGTCAGCTCCTGAGGCTCCTCACATCTCCTCGGTGGATTACTCTCATGGCGTCCTGTATGTTCGCTGGACGTACGGCGAGCTCTTCATTGACCTCTCACATTCCAGGATGCTTCACTGGCAGGTGGTCGCCGTCGGCAAGAAAGGACCAGAGAGGAGCTACTCCATCGACGTGAGTCCTTCAGTCATTCATCAACTTATCTTATGTTTTTCAGGATGGTGATGAAGCTGGAGTTCTTCCTAGTGTCCTCCACAGATTTTTCTACCTGTTTCTAAACAATACTCTTTTTTTATACCAATTTTATAAAATCCATCTTAACAAAAAAATAATTACATTTACACACAGTCCAAATACCACAGTGTGGTTTCAGTTTCAACTCTTCAGTTTCATGTCTCAGCAGCACTTCTGCATTTTTCCACTCAAAGCAGTTTCTCAACTAAAACCAAACCACAACCTGCAGTCATTCGTTATCTAACGTTACACCAGTCACAGTTTGAGTCACAGCAACTTTTACCATCACGTGAACCTCAGTAAAAACCATTCAGAAGCTGGCAGAATTTCTATTTTTGCTCAACGTTAGCCGCTAAACAGCACCGTCCTCCGTAGGCTCAGAGGTACTGTGACGCAACATGGAGAGTTTGTCTGAGACAGTGGAGTTGAATGCTGAGAGGAAGAAGGCTCAGGTCTGTTCTTCTTCTTGCAGTTGAACACGTGGCAACTTTTTGCTCTTAAAGTTATTTCACGCATGCTCAATTTTTTGGGAATGAGGAAAAATAAGGAGTACTGCACTGGATTGAGGCTCTGTAGTCAGTTGTAGAGGAAAATCCGATGCTCTTCAAGGATGGGTGCAAAGAGTCGCTTAAAGATAAAAAAAACAGCTGTTGAGCTCACTCAGTGTAAAAGTCCACAGTACAGACACGCAGTCCAAAAATGCATCTGAGGTTCTCTGACTGTAGTTAAAAATCCTTTATGAATACATGGATAAACCTTCTGTTAGGTTTTGGTTTCTGGCTGGACCCCAAAGCAGAGACGGACACAGGTGTGTGGAAACAAAAGAGTTTATTGACGAAGGATGAAACAAAATTGGAGGCAATGGAGGCAGGGTGCTGACTGGCTCGGAGGCTGTAACACCACAGAAGCAGCACTAAGAAAGAGTACGCTTGGCTTTACTGACACAGATGGAATTATCTGGCAGTGGAGTGGAGTGAAGACCAGGTATATGTAGGCAGGTTGATGAGCTGAGTGGAGACAAGTGTGCCTTGTCAGCTGCAGTGCGAAGAGCTAGCCAACCCCCCCCCCTCCCCACCACACACAAGCCTGGCAGGAACAGAAACATAAGGGAAGGTGGAAGGGAGACACACAAAATCCACCCAAAAAACAACAGAATCATCACACCTTCGACTAGAGAGTCTTCATCAGGGTGTGAAAATATTTAGGTTTAACTACACTCCTGCTGTCAAATCCTGTTGTTAGTTATCATGAGTTAAACACTTTAGAAATATCTCAACTTTATACATGTTATTAGTTTGTTGTCCGTCCACACATATCTTATATTTTTCAGTTTCTGCCACTTTGTGTGCAGGTTTGTCACAATATATAACAATTCTTATTTTATTTCACTGTTGTTGAACTTTTTTTCTTGTTACTAAACATGTTAGTTATTTAAAGCATACATTCATGTCATTTTCCTTTACAGCGTTTACATGGACAGTTTAATTCCCTTTTTATTCGGAGTGAAAGTTCATTCCTATTAAAAGTGATCTTGTGAACACCTAAGGCGGCGATCACACCGAGATGAAAGGCTAGAAACGCGACGCCGGTAAAACCATTGTTTTCCTATGATACGGTGCGTCTGACCAGCGTTTTTCCAGTGTCTTCAGACGAGCGTAGACGCTGAAAAGTTAAAATATTTTCAACTTTTTGAGCGTCCGACGCCAGTAGCTAGCGAGCATTGAATAAGCGCTTCCAGCGTTTGAAGCGTTGTTGAAGCGTCCGCGTCTCTAGTGTCTCATTTCTGTGTGATCGCCCCCTAATTCGGAATAAAAATGGCCAATGCGATTGAAAATTCATTTTGATGTAAGTGTAACCCGTGTTACTCTGCGTTGTGTTCTGGGTTGTGTAAATTATCAGACATGAGGCAGAAGTGGGTCTCCAGTTCTTTACTTTGAACTGTGATACAACAGAAAGACAGGGTGAGTAGTGTGAACACTGCGCGCCTGCCGAGCTCTGCTCTCCTCTAGCCACATAAAGCAGGACTGTCTACAATGCAAATACATAAAATAATTAGGGATGCACCGAATATTTGGTAACCGAATATATTTGGCCGAATATTGCAAAAAAACACACATTCGGTATTCGGTGGAATAAGTTAAAAGCAAGGCCGAATAATAGTGGCGTGTTTTGATAACGCAATCAAACAGAGTGCTGTGACGGACGGAGTAAAATGTCGGCAGTGTGGCGATCCGTCCGTCACCGCACTCGCATTTGCGACTAAAAATAGTTTTGAGCGAGCAAAATAGGCTTAAATCATTCAGCACGCTGTGCAAGCAGCCTACAGATTTCAACCAGCAGCAGAAATGAAAGGCGAATCCCATCGATTGTGGGTTGAACGGGGGTCACAGACACAGACAGTAATATATTCCTGTCAAATACGGCGGCCATCGGCTTACCGGTGAGGAGAAGTCGGCTCCAATAATATCCTCTTCTTGGCGTCATGACTGCCCAGAAGTACCTGAACAGCCGAGCCAGCCGAACACAGGTATGTGATGTGTCAGAGGAGAAACGAGCAGTTCACATTTCCACAAACCTCACCGCACTTTAGGGACTGTTCTTTACTTATGAAGGGACTTGTCAGGGGAGGAGGGTGGCTGCTTGATTATTATTTTATTTATTTATTTTATTTTGATCCCCCCTATGTTAATCACTTATTGATGCTGTTTTTGAAGTATGAATAAGTCAATAAGTAATTTATTCCGTTGAAATATCATTGATGTATTATAGAAAAGTGATTTATCTTTTTATAAATGACAAAAGGCACATCTGCCTCATTTTTGCTGTGGTATCGTGATACTACTCAGAACCATGATATTCTCATTGGTATCGTACAGTGGGTCCCAATTTTGGTACCATGACAACACTAATCTGGAGGGGGTTCATCTGCAAAAACTAATGAAAAACTAAACGATATTCGGTACTCGGTATTTGGCCAAGCGTTTAATATTATTCGGCTTCGGCTTCGGCTTCACTCACATACACCAGAAATGCACACACACAGGCAGGAGACTACAAACAAAATAAGTTCTTATAAAGAAAGAAAAAAGCTGATTTGGTGAAATTCACCAGACAACTATATTCACCCATTACATAAGGGGCTGGAATATTCCGTTTCTAATTCCAAATGAAAGAATTTCTCACACTTGTATACACTCATTCCTCTTTAAGTTCATTCCAGTCTTTCTGCGCATGCTTGTTTCCTTGCCCTTCTGGCGCGATGACGTATATAGCGTGCACAACTCGTTGCACTCACCGGTTTCCATTCGCCACAGCACAGTCTTCTATCTCCCTTCTTCGATCTTCTACCTCCCTTCTCCTCCTCAACAGACGAAGCATTAGCAGAACAAGGTTGTTGTCGTACTGCTGCTTCAAGAATATCAGCAAAACAAGCCCGAAAAAGGCACTAAGAACGGCGTCGTCAAGCATCTTGTTATCCGGAACGAGGATAAACACCTAACATTCGCCCCGCCCCCTATCCAATCAGAAACCTTCCCTGCCCCAAACCTTGCGCGGACTCAAATAAAGGCGATTAAACTGATCGCCGTGTAAACCCTCATTCAGAATGAATATTTCTCATGTAAACTACCTGGAAAAACTTGGAAACCTGGAAGCCATCATGTAACTGCGCCCAGTGTGATTTTTTTTGTCAAGCAGGGCTGTACCAATCATGTGACCTGTATCACATGACCCTGACATGACCTCTGAAACTGCACACCTGTTTCGAATGCATTTTACAGCCTGATGAAGACCCGCTAGTCGAAAGCGAAATTATTACCGACTCCGCGGTGGTTCCAAAAAGAGGAGCAGCTTCAGCAGTGTGGAATAAACTGTGGCGTACTGAATGTTTTACTTCTCACACTCTTTCAGTGACTTACCGCTCAGAGGGAACTCATTCAGCGGCTCCTCTGGCAGCAGCACAGCGTCTCTCCCTCTCCTCTATAATATAATGTAATGTAATGCAAACCTACGTGAATAAACTCCATATGTGACTGTGTGATAGTTGTGGGATCATAACAGCCTGTCACAGGTTACAGCGTGATGATTAGAGGAGAAATGGCAGAGCATAAAGGTCCAATCTCCAGCGTTATTAGGTATTGGTTAAAGTATGCTGTATGCTTATTGGCTTACTGATGCTGATTAGGGAATCAAAATTTGGTATTAAATGATAAGGCATTTTATAATACTTGATTGTATCAAAGCAATTTGGTCGGTGACAGAAAAGTTTTGAAGTTTGGTACCTGGCCCTGTATGTAAACATTTTTTTACAGCCTCTAACCTGTTCTTGTAAATTTCCCTTCGACACAGACCCAGATGGATTTGTTGTTGCGTATGAACAATTTTTGTCTCAGTTTAAGTGGACACACAGACTTGTTTTCACTGACCCGTTTCCTTCCTGGATGAGCTGTTGTGGTGTTGTGTTGTGTGTGTTCGGTGCCATTTTAAAGCGATTCAGCGGCTCCGATTCTGCAGCAGCAGCTTGTTATTTCGAGGTTGGGTCGAGCTGGTATTGATTATCTCTTCTGGGTCCATTCGAAGGTCCAATTAGCAGCAGAGGGACGACCTGCTGTCTCTGCTGCTTCGCCTCCAACTCGTCTTCTCCTCCATGAGGCCGGTTATGTTCCCAGCAGACTCAGACCTCCGTCGCATCATTAACTGTTGGAGGGTCGGGGGTGCTGTTCGAGGTTTAATTGGCCTGAATGATAGAAACAGAACACTGGTGGACTTCTGATTAAACTCCATGGATTGAGGCAACAAGAGCTAAATCAATGTGACAATAACATAGTGTAAAAAACATAATGTACCACACAGTATAGTACAAATACAGCTGTTAAAGCTTCAGCTGATGATCCTTTATTGATCGTTTTTGTCCTGATCACAGTTTCCTCGAGCCCAGGATCCCTTCATACATTATCTTGTCTTGGTGATGGTGTTGCTGGGTGGTTTCTAGGTGGCAGCTGCTGTGCTGTTGACCGTTGCTGGGTCAGTAACAGTCGGTTTCTTTGGCGTTTCTATGTGGTTATGATAGGGCTGCAATGATTAGTCGACTAATCGATGACTAATCGACTATTAAAATAATCAGTGACTATTTTAGTAGTCAACTAATCGGTTTGAGTCATTTTTCATAGAAAAACACTATAAAAGTACCCCAAAATACTCTTATTGCAGCTTCTTACGTTTAGATATTGGCAGCTTTACACACTCTCCCATGACGGTGAACTAAAACCCTTTGGCGTGAGTACGAAACAAGACATTAGATGACATAATTTTGGGGTTTGGGAGAAACAGAAACAAAGGGTACCGAACTGAACTGAACCATAATGCTGGGTGGAAACAGGGCTAAAATGGTTCCATGGGCATTCTGGGTGGTTACAAGAACACTTAGAGGCGGTTACTGGGGTGGTCCAGGTCTCTTTGGCACTTCTTAAAGCTCATTCATGCTCAACGTCAGAGGCGGAGGCAGGCCGGAGCTGTCTGTCCATATTTGTGCATGTTTTCTGAGAGCTTATGGATACAGACAAAATGGAGCAGATTGTGAAGGCAGTGTAGTGCATTTAAAGTTAGATACGACTGTGGGAGACACAGAAGAAATTTAAATAATGGCTGAATGGAACGAAACAGTTATATAGTGAAAAGAATTCTTCGTCCACATGTCTGGATGGATGTATGGCTGCACAAACCACCACCATGGTCAGGCTTCAGGCAGAGATAAGAGTTAAACCAGAGATTACCAACTGGAAACCTTCTGTTTGATGTCGACTGTTACTGCAAGCCTGTCTGTGTTTTCTCTTCTCCTTACAGCACGAGAACACACTATAAATATTTAAATACACCTGAATGTAATTGGTTGGTGTGTGTGTGTTTGTTGTGTTCAGGTGACTCGTAACGTGATGCGTGCCAGCCTCCCTCTGCCTCCAGGGGACATCTACAACCTGACAGTGACGGCCTGCACTGAACGCAGCAGGAACACCTCCATGCCAAACATCATCAAACTAGGTCAGCACACACACACACACACACACACACAGGTATATATACACACCTTTTGGAGAAACAAACCACCAAACATCTGCCAACCAGCCAAACATAACCAGGGGCCGGTTGCACAAAGCACCTTAAGTTTGTTTCTTAAGGTTTTGTTTTTGCTTACCTGAGGAAATTACTTAGGGTGTTGCACAGAATATCTTAAAGAATAGAAAAATATATGATAATATTTCTTCAGGGAGTGCAGTTAGTTACAGTGTGGGTTCCACACTTACTCGAACAGCTTGTAGGACCATCACAAAGGGGCGGGGCTTAGTGAAGGGCCAATTGACCTATGGCTAAGCCACGCCCCCCTCCAGTCACTCAACTATCAACATTCAGTGACCGGGTGCTATGGCAGGTGTCACAGTACACGGCATTTCACAGGAGGCAATTGATGATTTTTGGGACATAACGATCAGATGTCATTGAGAAGTAACCAAAAGGGCCTAAACTACGCATTGGAGGGATATATTCATCATTTTATTGTTGAGAAGGTCGATGAAAAGCTTAAATTACAAGCCAAAATTTACAGGTCACAGTGTACGCTTGTGAACCGCATCTGGTTGCCGTCACCATCAAAGACAACAAGTTAAAGTGCCACTGAAGTTAAGGTTTTTGGCTCAGAATATGAGAAAAGGATAACGGCCTTTTTACCATCTTTACCAAGAGTGTCTCTCCGTTAGTTTGGTGCTACAGTATTTACACTGAATCATTCAGCATAACGTTTGCCAACCTTTGTTATCTCTGCCATTACAGATAAGTTAATGAAGCTAAGCTCCAGAAGTTAACGTTAGCTTAACTAGAGCCCTTTGGACAACAGCTAACAATGATGTACGATCACCAAAGTACAAAACTAGAACAAAATAGGCTAATGAACTCCCAGCAAACAAGGTGACATGATGAACAACGCAGCTGGGAGCTAACGTTAGGCTAACTTTAGCTAACGTTAGCTAGAGATGTTAAAGATAACTTTATATTTCTTTCCAGCAAAGTGACAATATGTTGCCTCAAACACAATGTTGACTTACCTTAGAACAGATGTAGACATCATTGTTAATCTTATTCACGTTGAGTTGATGTTGTGCTCTAACGTTACCACACAACTTTATCCAAAGGAGACACTTTTCTCGGTTGAGATGTGGTTTAAAGTGTAAAAAATACACCTGGTCGCCCAGCCTCTCAGGATACCTTGTGTCAGAGTTGCATGTACCCCATGCACACCGTTTGACCATTTTTAAACTTCAAATCTCCGAAAAAGCTCATAAAACTGAACAAAACTGACTTTCTGTAATGCATTTCAATGGACGTCCAGGCAGAGAATGTCCGAGTGTATGGGAATGGCTATACGCACTGTGATTGGCTCATCATTTGAGGGCGGGACTTAGCCATAGGTCAATTGTGGTCAAAGAGTACCCACAGCCAACTGGTAAAGAGAAGCCTGTGACTCCTGTGACATGTTGACCAATGTTACAAAGAACACCTGCCATCTGGCCACAGAAGCTTGCTCAGTGTGTTTTTGCTTAACACCATGTATTTAGTCTCGTCTGGTTCTAGATTCTCTGAAACTTGCGCTTTACATTTGTTATTACCTGTTTAAACATAATATATTGATGTAATAAATTGCATCTAATAAAGTTACTCACTCAAGTAGTTTTATATGAGTTACTTTTTTTTTTACTCTTATTCAAGTAAGTATTATATGAGCACCTTTACTTCACGAGTAAATGCAGTGATAAAGTAACAATACTTTTACTTGAGTACCCCCGTTGTTCACTCTACTCACCACTTCAGAGCAGGCAGATCTTCAGTCCACACAAAATAATCATTCCTCCAGCTCTCAGCTACAAACTGACTTCTGTTTTCACCCTGAAAGTGAATATGAAACTTCATTTCTTCCACTTCCTCTTCTGGGCGTTCACATGTATTTTAGTCCTCAGCGTCAGTGTCGACTGAAGCTCGGCTCGGCTCGAACCTGCTTTTCGCCTGCAGCTTTTACTTTCATTTAAACAGAAGTGTGGAGTTTTATTTCTGCGTGTTGGTGTTTGTCGCAGAGCCGGCTGCTCCCAGGGCTCTTTACGCTGTAAACGCCACCCACTCAGCTGTGACTCTGCTGTGGACTGAGGAAGGAGTGGTTGACTACTACCAGGTCCTCTGTAAACCCAACAAAGCCAGCAAGGAGCTCAAGGTAAGACTACTGTGTACTATCAACAGATACAGTTAGAAAGAAGAGTTTAAAGGTCTTTTGGGTCATCTGTTGTTCCTCTGTGGGTAAAACTTTATTTAAAACCATGTGTACAAAGTGCTTCACAGCTACAAATGAAATAATATCTCAAGTATATGAATAAAAAAAAGAAACAAGTGTTGAGCAGAAACAGATCTTAGTCTGAAGTCCTTAAATGACTTCCTGCAGCAGTTGTTTCTTAAATTGTGGTGGAAGCAACTCTGGTGGACTCAGGGTTACAGCTGTGCGTCTCAAGGTAAACTGTTTAAAGGGATATTTCAGATAATTTGAAGTGGGGTTATGTGAGGTACTGTATCCAGTGTATTGCAGTAGATGGTGGTCGGCGTGCTCCCAGTTTGGAGAAGCAGGCAGGAGCACTGCCATGGAAGCTAAGAAATGTACTGCTGTTGACTGCCAGGAGACTTATATTATACTGTCCTATCTAGAGAGACTAGTCTTTTTTTAGCTGAGAAAGAAGAACAGTTCCTATTCACTTCGCCAAATATCGTAGGTCGGAACTATTGTACCATTAGTAATAGCTTTTTTTCCGTACTGATACAGCAGGAGAAACAGTTACTATTTCTAAAATAAAGACCCAGTTTCAGCTTAAGCCTTTTCAAAAGTAGTTCAATCTGTGGCTTGAAAGAAGGAAAATCTTCTAACACAATGCCCTGGTACACTCTGTGCTCTTGTTCTGATGCGTAACAATGGTTGGGAGATTTGAGACCTTGACCCTGGCGCATGCATTTTGTTTTATTAGCACTCAGGATGAGCTTCAGATTGAACAGCTTTGAAGGCTAGTTGAAGCTGGGAGAGGGCCTGAGTCTGAGTAGAAGCAGAGCAGTAAATAACTGTGTCATCAGCATACAGATGAGAACATGCATTACATAATTAAGGTTGAGGCTATTTAAGTAAATACAAGACAATAGAGGCCCCGGTAGTGAACCTTGAGGAACCCCGCTGGTAAATGTAACAGGGGCTGACCACGTGGCCTTCTCTTGTGCACACTGCACTCCTAATAAACTAGATAACAGACAGTGTTGTTAATAAAACTGTTTCTGAAGCCACTTGTTAATGTTAAGGGGAAGATGTGGGCAGATTGTCAGAGTATCAGCAGGTTGCATTATCTCAGCGATTATCAGTGATTAATATATCAGTGAGGATGACTCACATGTCATTAATGAGGATGTTTCCTGCAGGGCCACGATAGACTGACACATCTGGTATCTGCTGTCATTGTGTTTGTCACCACCCCTCTGTGTATTTAAAACTGTTGTCGTCCCTTTCAGGCCCGCGAGCCTCAGACAGCCAACTCTCACGTGGTGACCGTGTCCGGTTTGATGCCCTCATCCACCTACAACTGCACTGTCACCAGTTTCAGCTACAGCACACCCAGCAAGCCCGCACATATCACCATCAGCACTGCGGGTAGGTGGCGCTGTCCAGTATACTAATGCTGTTTCTGCACCTTTGTCGTATCGTCTTTATTTTATGCCTAAAAACACAATCAAGGTGTTTATAAGAAATTCCTTCATTTACACATTAATGGGAGATAAATAATCCATTAGTAATAAGTAAAAGGTGTTATTAATGTTAAGGGATTTCTGTTTACATAGGAAAATTAATGTGATTTTTTTTTTGTTTTGTTTAAAGAAATTTAGTATTTAGGTATTAAATGATTTATTAGATTTGGGACAAATTAACAGAAACATTTATGGACAATAGACTAAGGTATTTCTAAAGAATTTTTGGCATGAATTAAGGGATTGCTAGGAGGTTAAAAAATCCTTAGATTTTATAAAATAACCCCACAGTCATTCTGTAATTTATACCTGAACATTTTTCAGGCAAGGTACAAATTAAGGAATGTCATTGGAGTTATTAATGGGTAAAGTAATGTAATGGAATATAATACATTTAATGGATTATCTTCACAGTTTAAGAGATTTTTAAGGCATAAAGAATACTGTTAGAATTTCCAAATGGAATGAACGCCATTTTTAATTTTTTTACCTTATTTTCAAAATGAGTGGCATTCATGTTTTTTTTTTTAGTCTGTGTAAAGCATGTTCCATCCCTTAAAAAGCCCTTACACCAACCATTGCCCTAAGATTAAAAAATATGTTGTTATTAATTGGTTAATTAATTAAATTTGAATGTATAAAGATTAAGGAATTGAGTATTATAGTGTCCCAAAGTTCGTGGTGAAGAGGGAGCTGAGCCCAAAGGCAAAGCTTTTGATTCACTGGTCCATCTCTGTCCCAACCCTCACCTATGGTCATGAGCTCTGGGTAGTGACCAAAAGAATGAGGTCATGGATACAAGCAGCCAAAATGAGTTTCCTCTGAAGGGTGTCTGGGCTCAGCCTTAGAGATAGGGTGAAGAGCTCAGACATCCAGAGGGAGCTCGGAGTAGAGCCGCTGCTCCTTCACACCGAAAGGGGTCAGTTGAGGTGGTTCGGACATCTGATCAGGATCCTCCTGGGCGCCTCCTGTTAGAGGTGTTCTGGGCACGTTCCACTGGTAGGAGGCCCAGGGGCAGGCCCAGTACACACCTGAGGGATTACATATCTCATCTGGGAACGCCTTGGGGTCCCCCAGGAGGAGCTGGAAAGTGTTGCTGGGGAGAGGGATGGCTGGGGTGCTTTGCTTGGCCTGCTGCCCCCACGACACGGCCCTGGATAAGCGGATGAAAATGGATGGATGAATGGAAATAAAGAAATAAAGGTTTGTCTGTGACATAAGATCTTTTATATATGAATTTTTGTGTTTGCAGCTAAAGAGATGAACCCGAGCGTAGCAGCGATCTCGGCTCTGGCCGTCCTCAGCATCCTCCTCATCAGCCTGCTGGTTCTGTTCCTGCTGGTTCTTCGTAAGAAACACCTGCAGATGACCAGGTACAAAAAGGCCTGCAACACAATCATTCAGATAAGAATTAAAGTTATAATGCTGGTACACAAAATCAATAGTCTGTTACAGATTTTTTATGAACATTTTACATATTTCTTGTAAATTTTGCACTTTTTTCTTCAACAGTTTTGTAGTTTCAACAAAACTAGTTTCAGCTGAGCTGGAATTTTTTTTTTTTTTTTGAGGTTACATGTAGCAGAAGTGGTTTTGTTCTGCAGCTAAAACCCTCCTAACTCCCCTGGTCTTCATGAGCCATGCCACATTTTATTCTTAGAAATGGTGACACATAAACTTCCTCTTCTCATGAAAGTAACCAGCATGAAAAACTCAGTCATAATGTATTTGAATGTTGACACCCAGCTGAGCGTTGTGTCTATATTTTATATATTTACATGTTAGTGCGACAGGGATGTCCGTCTCTGTCTCAATTTATGTCTTTAACAAAACAGCTCAGATATTTGTTTTTTCTTTTTTCTCCCTTTTTAAAAAACACAAATTCATACCAACAAATCAGAAGGTTTTTTCTTGTTTAAGTTGAATAAAATCCCGTATTTTCTTTAAGTAAACATTCTTGTGTGTTTAGGATTTCAAGCTTTTGGGAGCTCATTTCTTCTTTACTTATTTTAAAGTTGTCTTTATTTAGCATTTTGTCTTTTAAGTCAAAAATATGAAATGGTAATCATCAATGGTACATCAAAATGATGACCTTCAAAGTGATTGTAAGACACTATCTCCACTAACACCTCCAAACCACTAGTTGGCAGCAGGGTTTCTGTTAAGTGCTGTAAAGTATAGGTAATTCAAAACACACATTAAACATGGCTTAATAGAGACAATTTCAAACACAAGTACACAAATCAGCTTCACTATAACTCGCAGCATTCACAGACAAACACTTGTCTTTATATTAGCACAAGCCTAAGGCATTTTACATTGTATAAATTAGCCTAGCAGCTAGCAGACTTTTCCTCTACTCATATGAAGCCAGGGACAACAGCAACATTTGACAATGGTAATGTTATTAAGGTTCACTGACAAAACAACTGTCTTATACTAAACACGTTTTCCAAACAAATACAACATACTAACGTTATTAGCACAAGCCTATGGCATTTTACATTGTATAAATTAGCCTAGCAATGTGCAGAGATTTCCTCTGCTCATATGAAGCCAGGATAAATCACACACAAGACTTAAAATGCTATTTTTGTGGAGGCTTTATTGTCGTCACAATTTATTGTTTCTTATCTGTGAAATTAAAGTAAATAAAAGCTTTGTTTCCACTGAGGGAAATGGTTTCAGCTTACAGAGACAGACAGGAGGTCTGTGTCACCGCAACACGTTACATACAAATACAGGAGGTGCATGTCATGCTATGGTGTAGGTATGGTGTTGATTTAAAGCAGAAATATAAATCCTGCTTATGTCCTCATTTTTGGATGAAGGTTCTCCTGTCTGTTAGTGTTTTATTTTTGTCATTCCTAACTTTTCATCCTTTTTCTTTTTTTTCTGGAGTGATTAGGCTTTCATACATCCTGTATACACTTGAAAAATATATGAACAAATTTAATCACTTTGTACTGACACATTCATTCACCATATGGTTTCCTGTTTATCTCAACCTTAAACTATGAAATAGTTTAAAAATAAGTTATTTTCAACACAAGTCGATATACTCTTATCGTATAATATCAAATACAGTTTTTAGTTTGAGTTCTCAGTTATTTTAACTCTCATACATTATAGCTCACTTCCTCTATTTACTGATCAGTCATCAAATATTTCTGACTTCCCCAAACTCTTCTAAACTGTTTCCACACGTGTGATGCGTTTGTTGGTGTTTCCATTTCAGAGAGTGTGGTGCAGAGACTTTCGTCAACTTCGCCTCATTTGAAAGAGATGGAAAGCTTCCCTATAACTGGTAGGACCCTCCTCCGTTTGTTTTCTCATCTTCAAATCACAATGAAATGTTTAAACGACATATTTGAGTCAAATTTGAAGTTGAGAAGTTGAAATAATAGAATCACTTCACAGTCCTGAGACCTGATGATGTTTTTTGGCACATTTGGAAATCAGGTTCTTGTCAGTAATCAAACATCCTTAGTTTGGATGTCAAAGCCTGTCGCTGCAAACACCCTCAAAGACCCAGTCAAAGGCAGATTAGCAGCCTGGTGGGGGATTGAGGAGGCAGATTAGGGATTTGAACACAGATTTTACCGTATCTGTGGCGCTTTAAGCAGCGCAAAGCGGCAATGAAGATGATGATAAGCTTAGCCCCTCCTGCCTGCTTTGTTTGGACCAGCTGAAAGGGGGTGTTTGTTGATGAAAGCTCAGGATTTCCCTTAATCTCAGATTAAAGGGACAAAATGTTGTTTTTGGAGTAAAGTTGTGTTAAATTCCCCAAAACAAAAAATGACGATTCAGTCATTTATTCTTTAAAATTACACAGTTTTCAAGGAAGAGGCAAAATGTCTCAGATTCAGCCTGACACGTGTTCTTTATGACATATTTGTGATTAATATAACAGCTGAAAGACGGTCAGTTAAGGCAGAACCTTGGCTTCCACCTGCTGTTGTATTTGACTTTCCATCATTAAATGCACATGTCCATCAGAGTGTCTTCTTAATGTGATGGTGCAGTTGTGTTTATGCTTTGACTGTGCATGTCAGCAGACCTCGCTGTTTGATGTGTTACAGCAGTGTGGATGTGAAGACAAAAGGGGATGTCACCACTGATGCAGATAAATGTGTAAGAAGGTCCTTATAAACCAGGCTATTTCACCGTTACTATCTAAAAGCGACAGCAATAAAAATCACCCTGATGTTTAGTATGCACCATCATTGAAACTTATAATAAACAGGTACAAAGAAACAATATTGTTTATGATATTGGTGTGCACAATATTGTGCTTCAAGAATGTGAAAAGCAGTTTTATCTCCCTGTCAGCGCCATACTAGTTGTCTCTTTGCCCTCAAATATTTTGAGAAAAATAGGTCATAGATTTGCAATTTTCTCTAACTAAAAGAGGAAAAGACAGAGATGATTGTTAAAAATATTTATCATTATATATTTGTACTATTTTCAACAAACCTCATGAGAAAACAAGACAATTGTGCATTACAGATGAGGTGAATCCCAAGGCTCAGTCCTAGGTCCTGTTCTTTTCTCCATTAACATGCCTCAATTTAAGTGGTATAAATGTTATACCTTTTTATTTGTGTGTAGATGATACACAGTTGTGCAAATAAACAAAGTATAAAACATAGCATGTATAACTTCAAGACGCACCTGACTTTTTGCTTGTTACCCAAATTCATTTTTTTGTATATTAATGATAATATAAGAAATCATAATATTTTATTTCCAAAATGTGTCACTGAGCTGAGACAGAACTTTTCTTAATTACTTTATAGCTAATTAGAAAGACATTACTATTACATTAAGATATTTAAGTTAAAGTTAAAATGTGAAAATATCAACATCTGTCATGTCATATGAAACACTGAAAAAAATTGTGAGAAATAGTGTCAATTTTGTCTTTATATAACATTACTGTGCATCTTTCAATTGAATGTTGATACAATACCTGATTTTCTGACTCTTAAAAAAATATCTTACTAAAAACATGTTATTCTTTAAAAATGTATGTCATTAACAATAGAAGTCAAAGTTGTTGAATGGTAAATGTTGTCTAAACAGAAGTAACTGTACAAAAACTTTGTCTGAATAAATACAGTGTGAAACTGTAAAGAAAACAAACAAAGAAAGGAAGAAAGAAAGGATGATTCAAATCAGGAATTATCTGGTCGGTGAAATCAACAACTCTTTGAACCTGGCCAGATTTGATTTCAACATTCAGTATCAGTTTTTGATACTGAATATAACAGACATATTTTAGTCTGTATCCAAAAAGTCTAGAGGATCAATAAGATGGTTGATTTAACATTTCCACTCTACTGAAGCCAATATTCTAGAGCAAAGATCTGAACCCTGGTGTGGATTAAAAACTGAAATGAACCCAAAGTTGTTGAATTTGTCTGCATCAGCGGGGTCATGACCTGAGCAGCACAAGTGTTAAAGAAATCATCAGGTTAATTAAGGTGGCTGTCACATGGTCTGACGTCACCACCAAGTGACAAAATGTGGACTGTTTATACATGATAAGGATCCTGGCTGAGTGTTGCATTGTGGGCCGGGCCGGGGGGACGCAGTGATGTCACAGACTCAGGCTAGAGGTTGTAAAATGAGACAGAGTGGCCATTGATGTCCAGCAGCAAACAGACTCCTGTTGTCCTCCAGAGAGACAACGGGACACTTTCTGAAAGGCTGCATGATGCATTAACTCTGTGTTCAGCACTAATGTGAAGCTCTCGACGCTCTGTGCCTCTTTACTAATGGAGCACCATGTTCTGTCCCCAACCTATCGCCCCCTGGTGTCTGTTTTTCTTTATTTTTACCTGTGTGTGTTTTTGTTTTATTTTTTATTTGAACCCCCTTCAGGCGAAGAAGCCTCTTTGCCTTCCTTACCCTACTGCCATCCTGCCTTTGGACTGACTATCTTTTGGCTTTTTATATTAATCCTTGGTAAGTAAGCACTTGCTGGCCAAAAACACTTCACTTCAGGGGCATGTCTTAGCAGCGCCACAGCCCACAGTATTGATCAGAGACATTGTTTTGGACCTCAGTGCGGAGCCACTAGGTCATATCTGGATCCAGAACTAAAGGATAAGTCTGATGATATTTTATGTTTTCAACAAATCCCATGAAAAGACCAAAACCAACAAAGCATTTACAGATATGGTGTTCCTCAAGGCTCCATTCTGGGCCCTGTTTCTTTCTCTATTTACATGCTTTCCTTATGCAAAATACAGAATTTCATATTTAGGCAGATCATATGGCATTGTCAGCGTGAGTGGTACTTGTTGTCTCGTTGCCCTGTTATAGTGAATTAAGGGGAAATAGGTGTTTAATGGTGTTTTCTTTATCTCAGTGAGGATAAACCTGAGATGACAAACATCCCATGAAAAGACCAAAACCAACAATGCATTCACAGATGTGGTGTACCTCAAGGCTCCATTCTGGACCCTTTCTCTATTTACATGCCTTTTTATTTAATTTGTAGACAAAATGCAAAATTTCATGTGAGGTTGTCAGCACTAGTGGTAGTTGTTGTGTTATTGCCCTGGTACTGATTTGAGGGAAATTTGTTTTTAATGGTGCAATCTCTATCTTAATGAGGATAATGCAGAGATGGTTGTATTCACTATTTTAAATATCCAAAGAAAAGACCAAAACCAACACTGTGTTTACCAATGTGGTGTACCTCAAGGCTTGATTCTGGATCCTCCTTTTCTCTCCTTTTACGTTCTTTCTCTTGGTTACATAATTAGTAGGAATTCAATATATTTTGTATTTAAACAGATGATATGTATTTATATGTTTCTGTAAATCTTAGTGATCTGGTAGTCTGGATGCCGCAATATGGAAATTGTTGGCAGATGTCAAGTAATTTTCAATAGCTTTGGGGTATGTGCTGAAATGACTGATACTGTTTTGTTTTTTTTCCTTGGGAGGACAGTCTTGACATGGGTGACCATGTATATTGCTGCATTAGCTGCACAGTTTAGACGTGGCCTGATAATGTCCACATTATTATTCTCCAGCTTTCTTTATGGTAATTTGTCACTAGTCATAGGACTAACTCAGCTCCTCTGAACTTTAAATCTGATGTTCCACAAGGCTTGATTTTAGGCCCCTTGTTGTTCATAATTTACATAAGTGATTTCCCTGATGTTTGTAAACTGCTATTTCACTTTAATCAGCATTAAACAAACAAATTTGATTTTATTTGGCCGTAAATGAAAAATGTTTATATACATACTGTACTTCTGTTGAACTGCAAAAAACATAAAAAATTAAAAAAATAAGTACATACGTACATAAGTTTTCAGCAGTAAATTATGTTTGTATTTCTTAATAATTTAGCCTTTTAGAAAAAAAAATATATTTAGGTCATAGCTTACAACTACATATTTACATGCATACATAACATGAGTCCAAAGATTTATCACGTAAAGAAAAGATTTCTAGTTTATTTTGTAAAGGTTAAAGTTAATGAATTTATTAAGCTGCCCTTAACATTAACTTTGGGTCCCACATGGATCTGTTTTAGTGCACTTGTTCTTAATTTACAAATGTGAGTTAATGAATCTTAGTAAACTGGCATCTACATTTTGTTTGTGTCTTTCAGTGTCACTTAAACTTATAACTTAACACTCGTCTTTTGTGCCCAGAGAACCTTAGAGGCCAATGTACAAGCTTTCCATTCATTCATAATTAAAAAACAAGGGCTCTGAAATTGAAACTTGTGGAACACCAGATCTAGAATGTAGCTGAGAGAAGAGATTATTCCAATTTTTCAAAAACACTTAATAAACTCATTGTTTAGAAACTCAAACCCAGCATTGTATTTGGGCCTAAATAACAAAAAAACAAATGTATTTTTCATTGTATAGAGCACTGTACCTTTGGTGGGGGCATTCCAATACAAAACAATGGAGTTACCTACCACATATCGCCTACCAAGAAATTAACTCAGCTTCTCTTAACATGTAATCTGGTGTTCCACAAGGATCAATTTCAGAGCCCCTGTTGTTCTTAATTGACATGAATTATCTCTCTTGTGTTGGTAAAAATTTCTCTACTGAGTATTTTGTTGACTTTGATTTTGCTTTAATTGCTTTTGGACAGTGGAGCTCTATGGCATATTAGGCTCTGATACACAGGCAATAATTGTTAGTAGAATAATTTGAATCTAAACATGGGATTTGTTGACAAGAACAACATATAAATATCACCAGACTTGTGCTTTAACTCTTGAAAGCTGCATTTTGGAAAAAAAAAGCTTTAAAGTACTGTTTGATTGACGGGAAATGGGAAGTCAGCAAATGATTTATCAGACATGTGGAACTCTGTCTTGCAATGCTGTGTCTGTGGTTGAACTCTCAGAGTCACATTTTGGATGTGGCATGATGCTAACTGTTGATGCTAACTACTGCTTTGCTCCATATTTTCTGTCTGCATGCCGTCTGTCTTTCTCTTTTTGTTTGTTTCCACTTTGGAACTAGACTGTCAGTATGTAGTGCTGCTTTTAGTGTAGCTTGTATCTCCTGTATATTCTGTTAGACATAGTTATTATAGTGCATGTTGCTGATTAAAGATGCACTTCCTGACTACCCAACCCCCCATTTCTAGAAATATGCCATCAGCTGCGAGCTGAGAGGACATTTTGGGATTTGGAGAGCTGTAACACAATCAGAGAGTGAATCTTTAAGAGACTAGATTTGACTCCAGCATGCAAATACAGAAGCATGACGTGTAAAAGATGAATGTAAATGTAAAAAGGCTGCATGTTTGATATGGAGCTGTCTGCGTAAAACAAGTAACACTTTGTTTGAGATGGATGATTTAAACAAATCACTGAGCATGTTAGTGATACTGCAGCTCTGTTTTTAAGGTTTGACCGATAGATGGTTACGTACTGGCCTTTTTTTTTATAAATGTTAATGGCTGCCAAAAATCCCCAAAAATAATAATATTTAATAATAATAATTTTATGTTTGAAAATTCACATTGAATCCAAAATTTAAAACTGCATTGGCAAATAATTTTATAATTATATAAATTAATCAGATAATTATGATATAATTAGATATATAATAAAAAATATCTATATGATAAAATAAATATACATAAATAATTTACCAATCAGACAATGGTGTAACTTAAATTTAAAAATAAAACTGGCCCTACAAAACTGTACATTTATTTTAAATAGTATCTAAATATTTTGACTTTTATTACACATTTTTGTCAGGCCTTGTTTGTGAAGTTTTCAACTTTAATGAAATCGATCATGAAAAAGGCCTTTACATTTTCTCTTTGCTTATAGATTAGCTAAAATTGGGACATAGATAAAATTCAAATGCCAAATCCAGTTTGTGATTTAAATTTAAAAATAATTTGCAATTGAAAATAACACACATAAATGGAAACTGACTTTTTAATTTGATTAAATAATTTTAATTAATATTGGCAGCCATAGATTTCCATTCTTTTCATTGACTCAGAGTGTGAACCTGAAATAAAATTTTCCTGACCACTGATTACTGAGGTAAATTCCCTTTTATTGCCCTATGACTGTACAAAAAAAAATAAAATAAAGGGAGACTCATAGACTTAAAAATTTTTAGACCCTAAAAGATTTTGGGGATATCTGAGTTTAACTCTTAGATTTAAACATTTTGAATAAATCTAAAAATATCGACTTTGATTAGGAATTAAAATGTTTCACCATCAATAAAGGACTTAGAAACGACATCGGTCAAACCCTAATGTCTGCAGATTTGTAGGAGCAGGATTAGTACTTGTTACAGTGTAATGTAATATGTAATATAGTTACTGACTGATGTTTGTCAGTTTATCATCATGAGGAACTTCACATGTGTGTATTTTATAGGAGCAAGACAGCTTTAAAGAAACGGAAGCTAACAAGGTAACAAGACTAAACAGCAACACGTGACTCTGTCGGTCTGTGGGCTTCTTCATTCTGTGCTTTATTTATGTTGTGCATTCATATGTGTGTGTGTGTGCGTGTGCGCGTGTGCGTGTGCGCGCGCGCGCTGCCATTGCACTAATAACAGCCTTCAGCCAAAAGCAGAGAAAAAACATCCAAACTGTTTAATCCTGCAGATGAAAGTGAAACTGAAACAAGAGAATATTTAACACTCAGACAGAGAGAGGAGGACATTTGGAAATATAGACAGATCTGACAATAATAATGTAAAGACACAGTAACAGTCAAAGTTTGTCTCTACTTTGGTCAGCATTAGAAGGTCAAAGGGTCAAATGAATAGATTAGATTTAGAATTTTTTTGTGTATAAGTGGACATTTGTTAGATATTTGTGTAAAACATTGACTTGTTGATGGTATAAATATGATTTGTAAAGCAATGACATATTGCTCGTCATATTTAAATATTTGCTGACACACTGATGTATTATTGTGTTATTTCAGTCCCGTGCAGCTGGATGACTTTGACGCCTTCTTCAAAGAAATGAGCAAAGACTCGGCCTACAAGTTCTCTCTGCAGTTTGAGGTAAAGTCCCCACAGTTTGAATCAGATGGGGTGTTTCTGTAGTGACAGCTCACGCACAGTTTCACTGCTGCAGCATTTATACTACCAAACGTTAGTCGACCAGAAAGGTCATTAGTCAGCAAGATTTCACTGGTCGCTTAGTCACAGGAAAAAACAAACATGAAACTCTATTAGAACAAATCCAAACCTATATGACTGGACCATGTGTGACTTTAATTTGAAAGGACAGACTGACTAGCAACAAATGACTACTGGTTGACAAGGAAAATTCTTAGTCAGCAGCAGCCCCAGTTTACACCGAGCTCCTGCAGCAAAGTTTCTCTGAGTGGAGTCACAGATTTCTGAATTCCCTCAGACATAATTTTATGTTTATGAATATTCATTGAAGTTGAAGTAAATCCTGAAGATGTTTTACACATGTCGATGTGTTTTTAGGAGCTGAAGAGTGTCGGCCTGGATCTTTCCCACGATGCAGCAGACATGCCCGTCAACAGGCCAAAGAACAGATACACAAACATCCTCCCCTGTGAGTCACCGAAAGTGTCTCAAACTAAATAACCACACATACGTCACCATTTATAACGTGTCTTTCCTTCAGTATGTGGTGAATATTTACTGAGCTCAGATTAAATTCTGTTTGTTTTGACACATTTTGCACAAAAACAGAGGTTGAACGTTGAATCATCACATCACAGACTTTCAAAATGCATCAAACAGAAACTTGTTTTTCTCACAGAACTTGAAATTGTTTTTTGTGGTTGAGTGTTTGATGTTTTGCTGCATCACATAAAGAAAACATGATGTGTCCTGTTACTGCTGATAAACTGACTTTAAACCTCTTCTCTGCAGACGACTTCAGTCGGGTGAAGCTGATCTCGATGCACAACGACGAAGGTTCAGACTACATCAACGCCAACTACATACCTGTGAGTCACTTTATTATCATCCTGAAGGAACATCAGAGGAACACAACAGAGAGCAGCAAGCATTCATAGTCAGAGATATAAAAGCTTATCAGAAGAGTCTTTCACTGTTTTCACTTGTTTTATCAAATCTGAGAAAGGACATCCTTAAGTCACAGCGATATAGACGGGGGAGTAAAATGTGACGTCTCGCCGAAAGGAAGTAAAGACTAATATTTCTGACTGTGAGAAGTTCATTGGAGGAATTTAGATCTTTTAAGGGTTATTGACTCCAACCTTTGTTCTCACAACTCCACAGCTTCAACTCCAATTTCTATTTGTGTTTTTATTTAATAATTTGTGTGTGTGTGTGTGTGTTCTTCAGGGCTACAAACACAGTAAAGAGTACATCGCCACTCAGGGTCCACTGCCTGAAACTCGCAACGATTTCTGGAAGATGGTTCTGCAGCAGAAATCTCCGATCATCGTCATGCTGACTCAGTGTAACGAGCGACGGAGGGTGAGTCTCATTACTGTGCAAAAAAAAACGGGGCTGCACTTTTGTACACGCTGAGGTACTTGTACTTTAATAAAGTGTTTTCTTTATATAGAGCACCACTGCATTTATATTTACTACAAATGAAGATTTTTTTTTACGCACAAAACACAGTGTGATATTTTGGTATTACTCAAGTAAAGGATCAGAATATTTCCCCCACCACTGAGTAGATAGATAGATAGATAGATAGATAGATAGATAGAAGGAGGATGTGATCAACTGTTTAATTACTTTAACATCAGTTTCTTTATTGGCTGATAAAATGTCAGATGTTGTGTGATCATCTTGTTCTGCCCCCAAGTGGACAAAAACATTAATGCAGCTCTAAAGGATATAATTCACTGCCCATTTGTATATCAGATACGCACCCCGTGTTACATTGAATTCATGAAGAAAATTTTGTTTTTCTTGCATGCCTCCGTGGTGAATGCAGAATCCAAAACCAGAAAATTTTTGAGTACTTGATTAATTGCGTTAAACAACAGCAAAACTATATCAAAACATCTGTTTGCAAACTCTCACACAACTCGTGCAGTATAATCCAAGCCTAATTCATTCGGTTGTATGCTCAGTACTTTACAGACGGACACAACTTTCTGACAGGGAACTGAACAGGAAGTAAACTTATCTATGCTCTCTGTAAAGCCAGACTCCATTAACAAAAATTTTGCTGCACAAGTTGTGTGAGAGTTTGCAGATGGATGTTTTGATATAGTTTTGCTGTTGTCAGATACAGACCACAGTAATATAGTACAGAATATTCTCTGTGTTTGCATTCTGCATTCACCATGGAGGCATGTGAGAAAAACAAAATGTTCTTCACAAATGCAACGTAACACAAGTTGAGTAACTGATATATAAATGATCTTCGGGGCGGGTAAAGTATTCCTTTAACTTCCAGTCTTATTAACATTTGAAATAATAATCTCTAACACTGAATATATTTCATGTGTTTCCAGGTGAAGTGTGATCACTACTGGCCGTTCACAGATGAGCCTGTGATGTACGGAGAGATCAGTGTGGAGATGCTCTCTGAAACCGAGTCTCCAGAGTGGACCATCAGGAAGTTCAGACTGGGATACGTGAGTACCAGTTTCTCAGGGTCGAGGCCTGACGTGGAGTAAAAGCTGCAGGTTCACGTTGTGCATTTATATATTTCCTGTAAGGTCTCATTGATCTTTGTCTCCCCCTGCAGGCTGATGAGAGTCAGGACGTGCTCCACCTGAACTACACCTCATGGCCGGATCATGGCGTCCCCACGGTCAACGCCATCGAAAGCATCCTGCAGTTCGTCCACATTGTCCGTCAGCAGGCCAACAGGACCAAAGACCCCATCATCGTGCACTGCAGGTCAGGACTCAGTAGTCCCCCAGACTACAGATATAATCTTGATTTTACAAAGTTCTAGTTAGTATAAACAAGAAAAAATATCTTTTGGGACAAAACTGGCAGACATCTCTACGGCCAATATCTCCAACACTCGGCAACTCACAACAAAACTATCCAGGTAGATTATAAAGTGCTACAGGTAAGAAGGAAAATGAAAGGTGAACTGTCCCTTTAAAAACGTTTAAGAACTCTGAAAATCAAATGCTGCATCCCGTATTTTAATAGCGTTAAATAGTCACATTATTTCCTTCAGAACACAAACACAGTTGTTGGTTGATCATCAGCAGTTTATTTGGATGAACACAGTTTCTTTATTCGCTGAGCTGGAGGTCCAGATCACATCCTGATAGTCACGGCCATAAAAATGCCATTAGACAGATGATGTAATCCGCATTATTTCATCCATTTATTCTGGTTGTTGTGGCTGCCATCATGACTCCTGTCGTCATGAAGATAACAGCAGAGGTTTAATGTCTGTGTCTGTGGTTCAGTGCTGGAGTCGGCCGGACGGGGACGTTCATCGCTCTGGACCGTCTGATGCAGCACATCAGAGAACACGAGTTTGCAGATATCCTGGGGATGGTGTCCGAGATGCGATCACACCGTCTGTCTATGGTCCAGACTGAGGTGAGAAGTCAGTGCGTCTGTTTGCAGCAGAAATGGGACCCGTTAGTTTAGATCTGGATACACAAGAAGTCTTATTAGTTTCCAGCACACGTTCCGGGCATTTTCAAACCTGTAGTTGGTTCAGATCTTTACCGTCTAGTTTGGTCACATTAAGGTCAGATCACGTTCCCACCACTAATAAACAACTACAGAATTTGTTTGGTAAGGGACTCAGACCACGTCCTCTAAGCTGTTGTTTCAGTCTGCGCTTGAATACAATTCCTGTTGTAAGATCTGCCAAAATAATGAGAAAGTTCAGTTCAACTGGACTCAACAATACAGGTTAGAAAACGCCCCTCTAATGAACCTAAATCAGTGTCTTTGATTGGTCAAACAGTTCATTGATCTCACAGGTATGAGTCTGTGTTGTCTGCAGGAGCAGTACGTGTTCATCCATCAGTGCGTCCTGTTGATGTGGCAGAAGAAGAAGCAGCAGTCCATCACATCTGATGTCATCTATGAGAACGCTAGCAAGACATAATGATGGAGGCTCCTCCAGACGTGAGTTAAACCGAACACCACACAGTGAGAGCAGCTGAAGATACACACCAACAACAGGGTATTAACCTAGTCATAACCAAGTAAACACAACATCCATACAGAAGTTACACAATTGTATCTAATTGTGTCTCTAGTGTATTATGTCATAGAAATGCAAGAAAAAATCATAAGATACCATGTCGAAATAAAGTCATAGTATAGCATGCTGAAAAAAGTCATAGTATAGCATGTCGATTTTTTTTTTTTTTTAAAAGTCATAGTATAGTATGTCGAAATAAAGTCATAGTATAACGTCGAAAAAAGACATAGTATAGCATGTTGTTGTTTTTTTTTTTTAATCATAGTATGGTATGTCGTAAAAAAGTCATAGTATAGCATGTCGATTTTTAAAAAAAAAAAAAAGTCATAGTATAGTATGTCGAAATAAAGTCATAGTATAGTATGTCGGAAAAAAAGTCATAGCATAGCATGTCGAAAAAAGTCATAGTATAGTATGTCGAAGAAGTCATAGTATAGCATGTCGATTTTTTGTTTTTAAAGTCATAATATAGTATGTCGAAATAAAGTCATAGTATAGTATGTTGAAAAAAAGTCATAGCATAGCATGTCGAAAATAGTCATAGTATAGCATGTCGATTTTTTTTTTTTAAAGTCATAGTATGTCGAAATAAAGTCATAGTATAGTATGTCGAAAAAAAGTCATAGTGTAACATGTCGAAAAAAGACATAGTATAGCATATCGAAAAAAGTCATAGTATAGTATGTCGAAATAAAGTCATAGCATAGCATGTCGAAAAAAAGTCATAGTATAGCATGTTAAAAAAAAGTCATAGTATAGCATATCGAAAAAAAGTCATAGTATAGTATGTCGAAAAAGTCATAGCGTAGCATGTCAAAAAAAGTAATACTATAGCATGTAGGAAAAAAAGTCAGTACAGGATGTCGAAAAAGAGTCATAGTATAGCATGTCGAAAAAAAATGGAAAAAAAGGTCATGGTATAGCATGTCGAAAAAAGTCATAGTATAGCATGTCGGAAAAAAGACAGTATAGCATGCTGAAAAAAGTCAGAATATAGCATGTCGATTTTATTTTATTTTTTTTTAAAAAGTCATAGTATAGTATGTCGAAATAAAGTCATAGTATAGTATGTTGAAAAAAGTCATAGCATAGCATGTCGAAAAAAGTCATAGTATAGCATGTCAATTTTTTTTTTTTAAAGTCATAGTATAGTATGTCGAAAAAAAGTCATAGTATGACATGTCGAAAAAAGACATAGTATAGCATATCGGAAAAAAAGTCATAGCATAGCATGTCAAAAAAAAGTCATAGCATAGCATGTCGAAAAAAAGTCATAGTATAGTATGTCGAAAAAAGTCATAGTATAGTATGTCGGGGAAAAAAAAGTCATAGTATAGCATGTCGAAAAACACGGGAAAAAAAGTCATAGTATAGCATGTCGAAAAAACGTCATTGTATGGCATGTTGGAAAAACGGGAAAAATCATAGTATAGCATGTCAGAAAAAAGTCATAGTATAGTATGTCAAAAAAAGTCATAGTATAGCATGTCGGGGAAAAAAAAAGTTATAGTATAGCATGTCGAAAAAACTAAAAAAAAAACAAACCTCATAGTATAGCATGTCGAAAAACGTCATAGTATAGCATGTAGAAAAAAAAATCTTAGTATAGTATGTCGAAAAATACGAAAAAAAAAAAGTCATAATGTAGCACATCGAAAAAACGTTATTGTATAGCATGTTGGAAAAACGGGAAAAGTCATAGTATAGCATGTCAAAAAAAAGTCATAGCGTAGCATGTCGAAAAAAGTAATAGTATAGCATGTCGAAAAAAAGTCATAGCGTAGCATGTCGAAAAAAAGTCATAGTATAGCATATCAAAAAAAGTCATAGTATAGTATGTCAAAAGAGTCATAGCGTAGCATGTCGAAAAAAGTAATAGTATAGCATGTCGAAAAAACTGAAAAAAAAGTCATAGTATAACATGTCGGAAAAAAGTCATAGTATAGTATGTCCAAAAACTTTTAAAAAAAAGTCATAGTATAGTATGTCGAAAAAAAGTCATAGTATAGTATGTCGGGGAAAAAAAGGTCATAGTATAGCATGTCCAAAAAACTAAAAAAAAGTCATAGTATAGCATGGCAGAAAAAAAAACAGGAAAAAAGTTATAATATAGCATGTCAAAAAAGTCATAGTATAGTATGTCGAAAAAGTCATAGCATAGTATGTCGAAAAAAAAAAATTGTAGTACAGCATGTCAAAAAAACTAAACAAAAAGTCATACTACAGAATATTGAAAAAACTAAAAAAAAGTCACAGCATGTTGAAAAAACTGAAAAAAAAGTCATAGTATAGCATGTCGACAAAACAAAAAGTCATAGTATAGTATGTCAAAAAAAAAGTCATAGCATAGTATGTCGAAAAAAAATTGTAGTACAGCATGACAAAAAAACTAAACAAAAAGTCATACTATAGAATGTTGAAAAAAGTAAAAAAAGTCATATAGCATGTCGAAAAAACTGAAAAGTCATAATATAGCATCTCGACAAAACAAAAAAAGTCATAGTATAGCATCTCGACAAAAAAAAAGTCATAGTATAGCATGTCGAAAAAAATGATAAAAAAGTCATAGTATAGTATGTCGAAAAACTGAAGAAACATCATTGTGTAGTATGTCTAAAAAGTATTTTATGTTGAAAAAAACTGACAAAAACGATATAGTATAGGATGTCAAAAAAATGTCATAGTATAGCATGTCGAAAGAAAGGGGGAAAAAAATGTCATAGTATAGTACGTCCAAAAACTGAAGAAACGTTATTGTATAGCATGTCAAAAAAAAGTCATAACAGAGTATTTCATAGAAATGTCACAGTATGGAATGTGTAGTGAACCCCAGGCCAGACAACAGTGAAGCATATTGATGTTTTCAAAGGTCTTTAATCATGTTTAGACTTCATCTACATTATTTGAATAACATTGTTACCATTTTCCATCAGAAACATCTTTCTTTTTTAAAACATTGTTAGATTTACAAACCACACAGAAATGAATACAGTTAGCTCATACACATGTGCAAACATAACCATAAATACATATAAGTATAGATTATAATATCAATCTTTAAACATACACAAAATAAAGAAGCCAGTTTTGCTATGATGTAACAGATATTCAGCAAAGCTGTCAGCTATTGTTAGTATGTCTGCTGTGATGGAGATACATTTCAATTTAAACATTTACATTCTTTCAAGTCCGATAACACACATATCACCACGCAAAATCATGGAGCATTTACTGACACAGTACCTTGCTCCCATGCCAGCCAGGCACTTAACTATACAAAAAAGAAGGAGCTTGACAGTGCAGAGAAAAGTTGCATGTTTTCCCAAACTTTTCTGCTTCAGTATCCTGTTTCCACCAAGAGAAGGTGTCAAAAAAATTGATAAAAACCCTCATAGTATAGCATGTCCAAAAAACTGATAAAAAAGTCATAGTCATAGTCATGTTGGAAAAACTGAAAAAAAAAGTCATAGTATAGTATGTCGAAAAAAGTCATAGTATAGTATGTCGAAAAAAGTCATAGTATAGCATGTGGAAAAAAAATCTTAGTATAGTATTTCGAAAAAAACATCTCAGTATGGTATGTTAAAAAACTGAAAAAAATGTCATTCTATAGCATGTCGGAAAAAAAAAGTCATAGTAGAGCATGTCATCCAAAATGATGAAAAAAGTCATAATATAGCATGTCGTCCAAAATGATGAAAAAAAAGTCATAGTATAGCATGTTGTCCAAAACCATGAAAAAAAAGTCATAGTATAGCATGTCGTCCAAAATGATGAAAAAAAAGTCATAGTATGGTATGTCGTCCAAAACCATGAAAAAGAAGTCATAGTATAGTATGTCGTCCAAAATGATGAAAAAAAAGTCATAGTATAGCATGTTGTCCAAAACCATGAAAAAAAAGTCATAGTATAGCATGTCGTCCAAAATGATGAAAAAAAAGTCATAGTATGGTATGTCGTCCAAAACCATGAAAAAGAAGTCATAGTATAGTATGTCGTCCAAAATGATGAAAAAAAAGTCATAGTATAGCATGTTGTCCAAAACCATGAAAAAAAAGTCATAGTATAGCATGTCGTCCAAAATGATGAAAAAAAAGTCATAGTATGGTATGTCGTCCAAAACCATGAAAAAGAAGTCATAGTATAGTATGTCGNATGTCGTCCAAAACCATGAAAAAAAGTCATAGTATAGTATTTCGTCCAAAATGATGAAAAAAAAGTCATAGTATGGTATGTCGTCCAAAACCATGAAAAAAAGTCATAGTATAGTATTTCGTCCAAAATGATGAAAAAAAAGTCATAGTATGGTATGTCGTCCAAAACCATGAAAAAAAGTCATAGTATAGTATTTCGTCCAAAATGATGAAAAAAAAGTCATAGTATGGTATGTGGTCCAAAACCATGAAAAAAAAGTCATAGTATAGCATGTCGAAAAAAATGATTAAAACAAAACCCCCAAAAAAATCAAAGTATAGTCTGTCATCAAGATGCAGAAAGTGTACAATACAAAATTTGAAAAACCAGAAATATTTTTTCTTTTCCTTACAGGCTGCGAACACACCCAGCCTCCTGTGCTTCAGGCATCCATTCTCTGCAGAAGAAGATCCGCGTCATCATCAGTGTCAAAAAACAAAACAGCGGAACATCTTGACAAAAAAAATAGAATCCAGTTTTTTGTTTGAATTGATGTTAAAGCATGGGATGGAGTTTTGCCTTAAGGAGCCTTCACTGACTGACCAACATGTTGAACCGCAACCCTGCCCTCTGAACTGGACTGACTCACGTCAACGTGGGGTGGGAGAAGTCGGAGGTTAACGCGCTCCGACCTGTGATTGGATGTCTACACTGTGTCCGTCCTCATTGAGGCGACGTGTTGGTGTAACTGAGTCAGCAGTTTTTCATTTTATTTCTTTTTTAATCTCAGGAGTAGCTGAAAAACCAGCAAGCACACTGGCCTCTTCCTCCACTTCGAAAGTAATTTATCATCGGTTAGTTTTAGTTTTTTGCATCATTGATAGTGTTCACCGTCCTGCAGAGTGCAGCTTTCCTGGCTTTTTGCAACGTCAGAGTCGAAGGCGGTAGATTTCAACGTTACTCACTGCCAAACAAACCAAACATGGGACTGTAACATGTTGATTGATAAAAACATCAACTGCTCTAACATGCTAACCAACTGCCAGGACTGCTGCACAGATTATACTCACTGAGAGAACCCAGCAAGCATTCGACTAAGAGTAAAGGTCTGGAAAATGAGCACAACATTTTGTCATGTTGAAGTAGATTTTTAATTGAGTTTTTTAAATTAAACACTAAACATGGATTGTGCTTGGAGGAGCCTTCCAAACGTAATGGTGTATCTGTCCTGGTCAAAATTGTCAAACATTGGTAAAAATTATTTGTCGTCGTTGGACATCTGTGAAAAATTAGGAACATTTTTGCTGCAGTTTGAACAAGCTGAACGTTCCAGACTTCAGAAATGGTTTTATCAGAAAAGTATTTGGTACCGATTTCTAGAAATGCTACTCGAATGCCTCCGAACTTTTTATCCCGTCCGTTGGATCGACCACTAAACGTCTGAATGTTTGCTGGGTCTGCACAAGAACTAAAGGGCACAAACAGTTGAAGGGAACGAACGCCTTTCTGTGGAAACACGAGCGCCTCATGCTGCTGTCCCGTCGCTGTCGGGCGTGTTGGAGGCCAGTTTAGAGACTGTGGTTGTAGAGCTGTAGTTTGTATTTGCACTGAGGCCTCGGAGCTGCCTGACCTGCTGACAGAAGAAGGGAAGACTTTCTGCTGCTGCTTCCTGCTGTGGAGGACTAACTGCAGCCGTGCCGCTCGATATTCGTCCCGTCCTGTGGGCTCTTCTAACAGAGGATCTCGATCTGAAGACATAGAATTAACTTTAGACTACTGGAGATGTTTTTAACCCTCTGAGGATCATGATCTCATCGGCTGCAACAATCCTGTTTGGAAACAAACAAATGGATCATATCAGAGTGAGATAGAAGACAGAAGAGAGACATTACTCAGTCGAACTGCCAAAACTACTACAAAGTTTTATCAAGACCTGATGTTGAGTTTTCCTTTCTGTTGATGAATTTTGGAAATGACAGAAACATATCTTTGGGTCGGCCCGAGCCTTTCTGAGCCTCCTGGCACAATTTGAATATCTTTAATCCATCAGATTACCAACTTAAAAAAGTGCAACTGTTCTCTAGAACTCATGACAATAAAACTAAATATTGACCCAAAACATATCTGTCGTTCTAGAAAGCGCAAATATAAAACATACAAAAAATGTTACATTCCCTGCTTTTGTTGTCATCTGTTGCCCCAAACTTTGGAATAGTGCCCCAAATACTAAACTTTGATATTGCATTATTTTGATTCTTCTATTAATCCTCAAATGTTGGGTTCCTTAACAGTGTTTTTTGTTATCTTATTATTTGGCACAGAGCCCTGAAAAGTTTCAGGTTATAAAACATTCCAAACATTTTTTTTTTCCTCAATTCCAAAATTTTGTAAAGAACCACAACTTTATAACATATTGTACTGTGCCCCCTAGTGGCCACAAATACCCTAACGTGAGTGCTCACAGTAAAATGGTAAGAGTCCCAAAATTTAGCAAAGTGCAACAAAAAGGTTTAAGCGTCAGACTGGGTTCTGCAAAAATTTGTTTTAATATGCTTAATTATATATGACCAAATATTGTTTATTGTCACATTTGGTATGGCATTTACAATTTAAAAATTGGTATAATGTCCCAAAATATTGTGTAGCACCCCCAAAATTTGTTACGGTTACAAAATGTTTCACCTAAAGTTACTAATGCCAGATTTGGTATTGCAAAATTGTGTTTTAATGGCAAAATTAGATATGACCAAATTTTGTTTACAACAGACACATTTGGTATTGCATTTTCAATTTGTTTTAATTTTTTAAAATTTGGTATAATGTCCCAAAATATTGTGTAGCGCCCCTAAAATTTGCTATAATGTCCCAAAATATTGTGTAGCGCCCCTAAAATTTGCTATGGTTACAAAATGTTATTCAGCACCACCAAAAGTTATTAATGCCAGATTCCCAGTATTTGGTGCACTCCCATTTGTGTTTGGGGATAATACCACAACTAGATGCTAGAGAGGATTCTCTGGAATTTAAAAATCTTTCGGATCTTGTAACAAAATCAGTGAGCTTTGAAATAAATTTTAGAAAAGTAGTTCTGATGTTGAAAACGAACAGTTAAGCTTCATGTTTCGGTTGTTTTGGGGCCTGAATCTCGGCTCAGTTCAATCTTGGCTCGGGCCGACTGAATATCTCCGTCTTAACACATGAATACTGTACAGAAAATTGTTATCAAGCCATTTTCTGACGCATCAGTCTGTTATCAGATCAACTTATTTACAATTATTTAGTCATTTTCCATGTTTCTATCGATCACTTGAATTGAAGGGCAAAAGAAACTCCACATTTCTCACTTCCTTGATGACTGTAGAGAATGTCTACTGAACAGATGAGAGTGGTCGACCTCATTCAACCCAAAGTTTTACACTCCATTCAGGATGTACAGGGTGTTGTCAAAATACGAGCGGAGAGTTGAGTGGCTTTTCTTTTTGGGTCTCCACAGAGGAGATAGTGATGATGGTCCAATACGAGATTACATCTGATTTTATAACATTTACTGTCAACAATCCTCTTCCAATCAAAATCACTTCAGTGGTCTGTTTCAATTTACAGTGCTGTCAATGGGAGGAAACAGTGCCAGTAAAATTACCAATTTACATCAAAAAAACTTTCCTCACAACTTCTCAAGAAAAACTTTTAGCCAATTAAAGGTTTCTTAATAGATTTTTTTTGTGCGTTGTGCAAATGTTAATTGGGGGTGGGAATCACCAGAGGATCCACGATATATTATCGTGATACTTAAGTCACGATACAATATTATTGCGATTTTAAATATGTTGTGGTATGCTGGTTATTGCGATAAAATATATTGCAATATATTACCTTTTTCCAACTGTAAATTATGTCCCCAAAGGAAAACTTTGTCAACATTGTTTTCATTTAATAAGATAAAATTTTAAGTCTGTTCACGTCACTTCAGCCATTTTTTTGTATTTGCGGGAAAATGTATCTGGTGGACTGAAAAAGCAATTTATTATATTATTCTATTAGGCTACCTAAAGTTTAATTTGTATTTGTGATATTTATAATTTATTTAATTAAAAAAAAAAAAAGAATCGATATTTGGCACTGTGTGACGATACGATATTTTCACACAAAAATATTGCAATACTATGATATATTGATTTTTATACATATCATTACAGATTGTTACAAAAAGTTTTTGTGTAGTTTAAATATTTTAATAAGCTAAAATTTGTTTAATCTTGTTTAACGACCTCACATGAAATTTGGCTGAATGGGAAAAAAAAGTATAAAGTATATATAAAAGTATAAAAATTAGCAACATAAAGATTTCAATTAATAACTAAACTAAGAATTGACCAATCAAACCAAATAATTAAAGAAAAAGTTTACAATGAGTGTTGTTCCCCTCAAAAAACATATGGTCACAAATTTTGTTATAACCTTCTAAAGTTGTTCTAATTTAAAAAGCGCCCCAAATACTAAAATTTAAGAAAAGAAAAGCCACTTCTAACTGCTGTTTGTGTTATTTTGACCATACCTTGCATCCAATTTGTAAAAAAATAAATAAATAAAAATTAAAAAAATGGAAGAGATCAATGAATGTGTGTAAAAAGGCCGTTGGACACTTCAGTGTTGACTTGTAAAATGATTCGTCATTGTGGCCTTGTGGTTCAAACACCTGAAGTCTTTACCTGTTCATTGGTTCGGTCGCCACTCGATCTGATATAGGTTACATTTCACTATTAGATATCAAATGTACTGTACATACTACTACTGCTTAACTATTCTGTTTCTACTCGTCATTACAAAGTAATTCTTGTGGAAATGTTGCTTTAGAGGTTTGTTTTTTAAAAGTTGTTGTATATGTGAATCATCATTACCTGAGCCAGAAGTTCTCCCATCACTACAACGGTTCGGCTGTTGGACGTTTGGAGACTCGGCTGTTGGGGAAACGTCAATGGGGAGAACTTGTCAGTCGGAGAAACGCACTTTGGAACAGCTGTTAAAAAGATTTAGAAGATTAAAAACTGACGTTAAAACCTGGAGACAATGTCTGAAAGCTCAGCACTGTACACTCTTCTACAATTCTTTCTCTTGCTTAGTGTGTGTCCAGTCAAACTTGTACGTCATTGGTGCCATTCTTGTGCATTGTGTCACTTAAAATTTGAGGGACGATCTCGAACTCGGATCGTCGTCACAGAGTTTTAATGTGTGTGTGCGTGTTGGAACAAAATAAAATGTTGCAGTTAGATTTGTCTCGTTTCACTTTCTACATACAAAATACAAAAATGGTTGGCTAACACTTGAAATGTATTGAACATGAATACTGAATTTAATTACCGACACCAAAAACAAGACATTTTTATGATACTTTTTATGCCAATTGGAAAGAATGGCTAATCTGGATTTTTTTTCTGATCAATATTGTGATTTAAATTGTGGTCATTTATGTAAATTACATGTCTACAGTTTTAAAAAAAAATATGAACTTCTACCAAATATTATCACAAATTCATTTTGTTTTTACGTGAACAGAATCAGATAAAATGCATCTTCAATTTCAATCAGTCAATTTATCCCAGAATTATTAAGATTAGTAGTAAACTACAGAAACATATGTACGTTAAATTAGATAGTCATTCAAATTTGGTGTCCCCAAAATTGGTTACAATCCCAAAATGTCCAAAATGTCTCCCAAATTGTTACGATCACAAATTTTGTACAACACTCCCTAAAAATTTAAGATACAGGAGCAAATACTAAATCTGGGTAATACATCACTATTTTATATACCATAGCTGGTGAAAAAATACTATAAAACGCTATACAGTTCTCACAATAAAGTAATATTATAGTTCATTTTTGCTATGGTATATAGGGCCAAATTTAGATTTTACAGCCCTAAAAGTTTGATTAAAAATTTGTATAGAAAATTGAAATAAACACAAAATGTTAACTCTCAGATTCTACAGAAATTTTCTTTCCGTTAAGGTCACATTTATATAAAATTTGTATATTTGACTTTTATCCATTGAATTAAACGATAATCAAACATTATCTTTAAAAGTGGTGACATCTTGTGAAAACAGCTCCATATTGAGCCACTCATCATAAGATCACATCAGATTCAATAAGACAGTTCTGCACTTTCGATGCTTTTGCCTCATTATGTATAATAGATGACGCCCCTTAGTGTTCTATATCAGGAAATGCATTTCTCAAGAGATGATTGGAAACACCAATTTAAAAATGGCAGATAAGTTAATTTTGTTTTTTTGACATCCTAATATCAAAACAACAAAGATGATCTGTATTTCTTAAGATCAGTGGTTGAAGCAGTGAAAGTACAGTAGTAAATTATATTAATATTAATATTTGTTATATCTATTGATAAATGCAAATGAATGTAATGAACTTTCCCTTTTATTAATCTTTGATTAAGGAGGTTTAGCCTATACAATTTAACAGTTCAATTATCAACATAGTCAAGCACCTGAATGAAATAAAAAATTCTTGTTAACTAATTTTTTCATACCAACTTGTCAGTATAAACAGTGCATAAGGTCTGTCCGAAATCTGCCAAGATGAAATGTTTGAACGTACTTGAGGCCAATTTCGGCCCTGTCCAGCTCTCCTCGTGTAACGGCCGGTCTCCTGGTATCTGGTATCAATCTGATTGGGCTGCAGGTACCACTTCATGCTACCAGTAGTGCCAAGGACACTAGCAGAAGACCAAACTAGAGAACAATCAGTCAGGAAGGATAAGGAGAGAGTAACTGTCTGTGGACACCACATATAAAACCATTTCCTGTTTGCCTCTCCATTGCACCTGTTGTCACTTTGATTTGCACCAAATCAGCTGAAACTGATTAACAATAACTTGTGCTTCCTAAATGGACAGATTGAATTATTAGATTGGACTGAGTTAATTATCAATCAGAAAATATCCTTTATGTCAAATGCTTAAAGTTTTCTTAACTCAAGCCGCTGTTCAAGAACAATTATCTAAACTGGTTGAATCAAAAATTTAAACTTATACATACCTTATCAAAGTAGACAGAAAACAAAATTATACTTACCAGACATTCTGTCTTTCATAGCTGGTACAGACTGAAATGAGTCTGCAGTGCCAGAAAAGTGTCGATGTTCATTATTCTGCACTATTTTTTTCCTCCAGCTTTTTTATTGGGGTTTTCAAAGTTAAACGCAGTGACAGTATAAAAGTGAATAGAGTTTCTGATGAGTTTGCAAGATGGATTTTTTACAGATAAAATTAAATTATCTATGTTAGAAAGATTGAAGCAAGAAAACAATAAAAATAGATAAAGATAAAATTCAAAAAATTAAAATTTAAACATTTAAATTTTCAAAATTCAAACATTTAAAATGTCAAAATTCAAACATTTAAATTTTCGAAATTCAAACATTTTAATTTTAAAATTCAAACATTTCAATTTTTTAAAATTCAAACATTTCATTTTTTAAAATTCAAACATTTCATTTTTTTTAAAATTCAAACATTTAAATTTTCAAAATTTACAATTTTAAAATTTAAAATTCGGGGAGACTGGGACGATTTAAATGGATGTCAGACTGACGGTGTTTTATATCATTTAGACTGGGCTTGTTGGGGGAAGGACTTGTATTGTTCTTAAAGTGGTCTATGAAGGGTTGCCAGATCCAGCAGAATTTGTTTTCACACCCTCTTAAGGAGAATTTAATCTTTTCCAAATGTAGGTGGTGCATGAAATCCTTCACGAGGGCAGGATGGGCAGGAGCCTGCGTTTGTTTCAAATTTAATAATATCGATCCATGTGCAAGCAGGGTTACAAATAATATGTTATGTTGGGAGTTGGTAACACAAGATCAGACCCTTTAATACCAAAGAGTTCAGTCAGTGGACGTCTGATAGTGACTGAAAAATATTTTGCCAGTATGTTATAATTATGTTATGGAATTTTTATTTTTAAGCACTTTTTCCCCAGGTCATTTCCTTCTTTCTTGCTAATTTTTGGGTCATTTCTTCTGAAGTTGCTCACTGACTTCCTCTCAAGCCAATTTCCTCAGGTTTCAAAGGGTTAAAAAGCACTTTGAGTGATCGGATGACTGGAAAGGTGCTGGACTGATATGTGAATACATTTTACAGAGCATATTTTTTTGGTAAGTGAAGCCTGTGCAATATTTTAAATTGCAAAAGTCCATGTCCAGCACAAAGTGAGGAAGACTGTTCCAGTAGTTGGGCGTTTTTCTGTGACTCTTCCAGAATAGCAACCCCAAAATCATTTGCCCTGGCTGCTTTTAAATAATCTAGGGAGGCGATACAATCTGAACATGAAAGTTCATTATAAAGAACACAGGGGCCTCCTTTGATCAGTGGGTTTGACAGAAGTATAGATTCAATAGGTGAACCGATTAAGGTTAGGGTTAGTTAACTGTAATTATGTAAAAACATGAGTATGTGGTTCGTCACGTTTAGTTTGTAACTGCTGAAATGATGAAAACAGACAGTCAATAAAAATATCTTTGAAGGAATGAATGACTGGTACAGAGTTTTATAAATGTTTTATTGCAGAATGAGCAGATTTATATGGAAAAGGCACCATGAAAACTATACACTTACAAATAACATTTCTGTCTCATTGGCCTCTAGAACTGTTTGGGTACGAGGACAGTTCACTAAATACACTTTACTCTGCTCTCGTTAACATCTACTCAGCTTTAATCATCATTAGTGTAATTACAGTGTTGTGCTACAGTTCAGACAAACCACCTTTCCCATTCAGTTATTCCACCGTTTACATCCTTTACACTCGACCACGAGGACGGCCCGAGAAAATTAAGTGCATAAGTGGAAAACAAAATGGATACAATCAATCGATGCAACAGTGAGTTCAGAATGTACTGGCTGATTCTTGTACATCTCCTATGAAAGCATACACATGTTTAAATAACATTTCTCCAGCTAGAGGATGATCTGCTGCTTCAGGCTACTCGGCAGAAACGGATCAGAAACAGTCGTCTCGTTAGTTTGTGTAGAAATGATTATTTTTTTGCTTACTGATATTTTTTGTCGAAACAGCTTTTTGTTTGCTGAGACTTTATTTACAGATGCAGAGTTTACTGTGAATTCTCAAATAGCAGCAGGTGACTGAACAGTGACAGAGGAAGTTCATGACCTGCACGAACAGATAACGGTCAGGTGAATAAACTCAAGGAAACATTTAACTACGAGGGGTGGAGTCACTTCTACTACAATGACTTGTATGGTAAATTTAATGTAGTGTACAGAACATAGAGTCGTGTCATACTGACCACTCTGCTGCTGTTTCATTTGTTAATTTCTCCACTTTGACACTTATTTTTGCTGCTGCCACAAACCAAACACTTGACCTGCACACTTCACTTCACCATTAATACCACGCACATTCAGTGTATCTTGAGTATCTTAATAACTCACACTGCTGCATACAGAAGGATCATACATTCACTTAAGAGTAAAAATTCTACTCAGCTTTTCTGAATTAATGAGATAATTATGTCAGAATTCTGACTGAAGTTTTAATGGAAATAAACTGCAAATGAAAATTGACAAGTTAAGTACCTTGTTAATTCAGTAAAACGAGAAAATGTTTTTCTATTAAATCTTTCATTTAATTTCCAAGATAATCATGTTAACTGGGGGAAAAATGTTGATTTGTCTAATTATTCTGAGCTAATTATCTTGTGGTTTCAGAAAAGTCAATCTCAAGTGAACACCGTTTTATCATTATATAGCATTAATTTTTTTCTAAATCAGAATTTATTAGTTTTGTACTTTTCATTAGTTTTTTATAAATAAAATTTTTATTTTTTTCTGTTCGTTTTAGTTTCAGTTAGTTTCCAGAGTGTTTGCTGATTGCGGTATTGTATTTTTCATTATTTATTTTTTAAATTATTATTTTTCTATTAAGTGATCGTTTCAGTTCAGTTTTTATGTTAAAAAAATTCAGTTTTAATTCAGTTTTTAATGATTTCAGTAGTAGTTTAATTTCCTTTATTATAATAAGGGGGTATTTGTCACAGAAAATAATTTTGAAGTTCAGAATAGTTATTACAATACAAACAGCACTTTGTGAAGGCAAATGACTCAGTCACATAGACGTCCCTGTCTCAATACACACATACCCACTAATGCCTCCTCGTGTTTGTTGCGTTGACAAACTTGACTAAAAGATGACGTTTCCTGTATAATTTCATTTTTTTTAATTTATACGTACACAATATTGTTTCAGTTAGACCTTAGAAAAAAACAAAAAATAATTTTTATTTTGAATTCAATTACTTTAAAAGGGTTTAACTATAATAAGCTTCATTTTTATAGTTAGCAAAGTGGTTTTTCTGTTTTAATTTTCCTTTTTTAATTTTTAATTTTTAAGTGTGCCTGATTGGTGTCAACTATGATGTCACTGATATTAAATACAGTTTCTTTGTCGGTCTCATCATAAGTATAAAGGATCCTTTATCAGTTACATTCATTACAGTCATGGTGAGTTTCACACAGTGAGACACAGATTATAAATTAGGGACAGTCTTGGCATGAGTTTGAACTTGGTTTCAGAATATTTTTCTTATCGCTATCAGATGCTCTGAGATACATTTTGGGACAGAAAAGGTTTATGGGTGTTTCACGAGTTAACTTTGACTGACAGCAGCTTCACAGTGATCGACATTGGAAATGATTAGTGAGTGAAAACAGTGTTGAGTGGTGACATGACTGTTGATGTACGGATGAATTAGCACTGTGGAAATATTCATTAAACTGAATTTAACCTGAAAACAAACATGTAGGAAGTGTTGAGTCTGTATCACCTGGGTAACAGTGGACATTAGGAACAAAGACCCGCCTCTCTGACACTTTAACTATTTGAGAATTTATAGTATAGAAGAAAACACAACTCCCACTGAACAAATGTTTATAGTGTCCCGTCAGTCAGCGTCAGTGACAGTATTTGCTGACGCAGCCTCAGCTGACCTGAGATGACTGAATAAAACAAGCATGAACGACAACAGAGTCATGATGAGAACAATCAGTTTAAATCAGTATTATGCTTTAGTTTTATATAATCTATAAAGTCTTCATTCTGTTCACAACACAGCTGCGTATAATTAAAGATTAGTCGTAGATCACTCGTAGAGTTTCTTCAGGTCATCGTTAGGATCGTCAGCTGGAGGCTACAGTCTGTTCGCTGCTGTCACTCTGCATGACAAGCACTTCCTGTTTACATTAACAGTATGTTGGTCAAAATATGATGATGTCAGATGACTGACGGGACCGTTTGTTTCTAAACACACGAGGCTCCCTGTGGCGGTGGGCGGACCCTGAAGAAAACATTCATCAGGTTTACAAAGGGAGGATCGCTGAGTCAGACTACATTCGCTTCAGTGTTTGGACGACATTTGAACTTTTAACACAAACGTCAGCAGAAACAGATTTTTACAGCCGTTAAAAAAAAAAAAAAAAAAAATCATCTTACAGGTTTGATTCTTCACTCGCCTTCAGCTCAGAAACATTTTCATTATTTATTGTGCAAAAATGCTGATCGCCAAATCTAATAACATCTCAAGAGATCTGTGTGTAATAATGTCTCTAACTCTAAATCACGTCATGTCCTTTAATTGTAATAAAGTTATTGTGCATTTCAAGAGAAAGGATTTTCACGTCTTTTGTTTCCCAGTCAATCAGAGCTATCATCAATTATATTAATTCATTTAAACCTTTGATATAATCATAAAATTAAAAAAAAATATACTATGAATATCATGATGTTCTTGGCCAAAAAAATCTGAACTGTACAGTAAATATTAATCAGTCTATTAATGTGTTCACTAGAACAATATATTCAAACCAACATTCACTTAAATGTATTTCTGTACAAACCATCAACTCGTCAGTTATATGGACTACGAACATCAGTTTGTGCCTCTCGTTTATCGTCAGTACGTTCAAGTCGTTGAGTTAAACATCTGCTTTTCTGAAAGATAAATCTGTGACCATCTTTGACATAATCCAGATTGTTGATTAATACTTTCCTAATATTTGAAGGTGTTTTGAAGTCCTCAAAGAGTCTAATCAGCGACCCCGAAGTCCTGAAACATCTGTGACAACCATTCACACTCACATTCACACCTATGGACAATTTAGAGTCACCAATTAAGTTCCTGGTAAACTTGCCAATAGGCTATAATTTTAGCGAGCTTGCTAAGTAGGTGGGCTTTGCTAACACGAAAGCTTGCCAATAGACTCAATTATTAACTAGCAAATATTAAGGATGACATTATTTTCAGTTGCAAATACCTGCTATTAACACATTTTCCTACCTAGTTAGCAAGCTAGCTCGCTAACCCTGCAGCAGCTCACACAGATTTTGTTCAATTGTATAAACTTCAATTTGGAAAATTAGCTCAGACGAAGCACAAACGGATTTTTAAAGAAGCAAGAGGATGTTCGTCCAGGAACATATCATACTTGGCAAAATCACTTTGTGTCTGTACAAAAGGTCTGTTTTCAGTGACATAAAATGCCATTTGTGTGGACGAAAAGACCATAACACAGAGAAAAGCTTTAAAAAACACCTGTGTTTGTGCAGACCAGGCCTCAGGTTAGTTATTGTACAATGGACTAAATGTTTTACATCCACATGTTAGAAATATGTAGCAGCAAGTGTTGTCGGGGTTTAGTCTTTCAGAAACAAATGTTTATCTCTGTGACTCAAATGTGACGACACATGAGAAATGAACGATTATATTTGTTACAATTAATCCATAGATTATTTTCTCAATTAATCGTTTGGGCTACAAACATTGGAAAATGCCTGTTTCAATATCCTACAGCCTAAAGTGGCTTCATCAAATGTCTGTTTGTGTCCAACCAACATTCCCAAACCAAAAAATATTAAATTTGCTACAAAGTACGACCGAGAGGAGCAACAACTCTTCACATTTGAGAGAATGGAAATGTCAAGTTTAGTCATTTCTGCTTGAAAAATTATCAAAAGATTACCAAAATAGCTGCAGATTTATTTTCTGTAGATGGATTAATTGACAAATCGTTGCAGCTCCACCTGAGAGGCACAAACTGAAGCTAACAAACTACCAGCCGTTCATTAATACTGAGAGGCTTTGCTTTGGAAACTGAGCTACTGAGCAGCTTTTCTTCACTTTTTACAAACACCAACAAAAACTCCTCCAGAGTCCCACAAGTGTTCACGTGTACGTCAGGCAAACATGGCAGAATTCTCTCGGTTTGAATATCAGACGGTCCAAAAGTCAGTCGGCTGGTTGGTTGGTTTTTTTTGTTTTGTTTTTAATATTTCTTTCTATGGAGACGAGCTGAGGAGCTCCTGTCTGCGCCGCATGATCTCCAAAAACTCGGCATGGTCGGCCGCCGCCTGAGGATCAAGAGTGCGAGAAAACAGCAGGCTGCAGTTTGAAAAGAAAAAAAAAATAAAGAGGGAAGTAAAGCAGGAGGGAGGAAGGGAGGAAGCCGTGTGTGTGGAGCTCAGTGGGTGCTGCCTTCATCAAAAGACTCCACCCCTGAATCACAGGTGCTGGCTGCCAGTTTCTCCTGCCGCCTCCTCATGATCTCCTGGAGCTCAGAGCCTGAACTCTTCTGGAGGCACAAAGAGACAGAAGACGAAGAAAGAAAACAGAGACAGAAGGAGGTGAAGAGTATCCAGAGAAGTGAGGGCGTGGGGAGGAAACAGAATAGAGAAGACAAACAGCCGGTTAGACGTGAAACACAAACACAAAATGTAAATGTCTTGAGTCTCGCTGCCTCTGAAGCGACTGAGCGTCTTTGCCAACAATCTACAGAGCGTCTCTGCTGACACACTTTCCTCCTGGAAATCAGAAGATTTTATCAGCTGAAGACGAGAAAATCTTCTGGTCACTCAGAGTCTAACAGCGCTGGCTATGGTTAGATGGTTATTCTCCATGTAAACGCAGCCAGCGGCCTGAACCAACCTCAGGAAGCCTTCTGGTGACTGGCGCTGCTGCTGCGAGCTGTAAAGAGCAGGTGCATGAACATGTCTAAAGTATGAGTCAGCTGCTTGAGTCAGGGGGCATGCTGGGTAACAAAGAGTACTTTCTAAAACTGGTCGCACAGAGATCTGTTACACTGCCGAGTCACTGCTCCGAAAGACTCACCAAAAATAAATAAACAAATACAATTAAATATTTTTTTAAATTGGAAAAAAAAAATCCATAAATAAATACATTTAAAAAAAATGTCAATTAAAAATAAATAAAATAATAAACATGAACAATTATTATTAAAATTATTAAAATGTTGGATAAGCATGGAGGACAAAAAATGACCATTCAAAAAATTAAATACATAAATAATTAAAAGCTTAACTAACTTCAGAATTATAATCAAATAAATAAATATGAAAGACATTAACATAGAAATAATTAAATGCATAATAAAATCTATATTATATTATTTACTTTTATTTATTGCCACTTGCTTTATTTCTTTAATTTTTTTGACATATATTTAGAAAAACAGAAATAAAAATAAAAGAAATCAAATTAAAAAACAAATTTAGAAATAAATGTAAAATCTTAAAATATATATTGCTAAAAACTGAAAAGAAAAATACATACAATTTTAAAAAATAAAGATATATTTGTAGAATTACAGAAATACATTAGATATCTCATTATATTTATTTACTTATGCATTTAATTATTAAAATATGTATTTATCATAGCTTTTATTGATGTATCTATCATTTTATTTGTTTATTAAATAATCTTTTTTTATTATTTATTTATGTAATTTTTGGTAAATTAGTCACTTTTTTATCCTCATTTGATTTTCTTTTGAATATTGCAACTTTTCTTTGCTGTTTTTTAGTTTTGAGCTGTTTGACGTCTTTGTGCGACCAGCTGCAGGTGAGAAGGGTCCTAAAGGAGGTAAAGGTAAATCAGGTAAATCTCTGTCAGAGCTCTGAGGAGAAGCTGGTAGTGAAAGTAGCATCTGTACGATTAGCTGACCGCTAATCAAAGCTAAGCTAGCACACAGACCACAAGTTTTCTGTTAAGATCTCATTCCAGGGGACGGGGGCGGGGTCAGAGGTCAACAGGAAGTGGAACATATTGGATCTGGTTCATTCAGGGAGTTTAAGGAGGACTTACTGTACAGCCACAGCAGGAAGACAAATACTGGCACTACCTTAAAATGCGGCTATACATGAAACGTCCAGAGCCTCGTTCTGACGGACAGATTCAGGAAATTAATTATTATCTTAATTAATCAATTAACATGAAAATTCAAACAAACACCTTCTGTGCTGCTTGAGAAACACCTGTGGACTACAGTATGAGTAAGACTCATCGTTTTTATTTGTATGGTGAATATCAAAAACAGGCAACAATCAGACATTACTACAGAGGGAGGTCAAGGACATTGTTTTACAAGTAACAAGTCCAGAGTCAAGACCGGCAACCCTCAAGTCCAGTTCCACGTCAAAGTCAAGACCTACAAGTCCTGAAAAATTAAGACTAATATGTCCCAGGTCCCAAGACAAGCAGGAGAACATAAAGTCCAAATTAAGTCAGGAATCTGTGATCATTTTTTCCGAGTCCACATCAAAACGATGAGTCTTAATCTGATGGAGTCACCATAAAAAAAGTTTCTGCCTTTGTTCCTTTGATTCTGTCCAACAGAACGAAGTGGTGAACATCTGTTTGTGAACACGATACCTTAATGAATGTGGTTACAGATTCAGAAGATCAAAGGAGGGTCAGAAGAAAACCTGCAGGTGGAAATAGACACCACACACCAGACCTTGGCAGTGTTGGGGGATAGAAAGCTTAAAGACAGAAAAGACCCTGAACATATACTGTGAGACGCAGACACAAAAGCCCTGTTTCCACTGAGCAGTGTGGTTCTGTTCAGTTTGGTACCATTTTTTCTGTTTCCACTGTGTAAAGTTGTGGATGGTACCAATGGAACCGTTCTGTCCCCATGTTTGGTCCCCCCTCTGTTGGGGTACCTAGCACACAGATCTGGTACTAAAAGGTGGAGCTGTGAACACTGTAGTCTGATTGGTCAGTAGAGGACGGTCACTCTGGTTTTATGTAACCTCTGTTCATATATCAGTAAACTATAACTATAAAATGAAAGAGAATAAAATAACTTCATTCACTGGGCCGAGTGCCGGCAACTTTTAAGGTGGAACGTTAACTTGTAATGTTACTCAATGCATGAGTTGATGACGTGAATCAATCAGCACACCTTAAATTTCACTGTGACAACTTTGACCATCACTTTAGTTTTATTGTCTCTCTTAGACGACACTTTTAATAATGAGTGGATCTTCAAGAGTTTAAAAATATATATTAACCGTAAAAAAAAAAAGCATTGTGGAGTGTCGTTCCTGTGGGCTACAGCAACACTAAACCCCTGAGCTTGCCTGAGAAGGACTAAATGCACAAAGCTGCTATTTTTAAATATCCCATGGAGAGAGACTTTCACTGCAGCCTGTTCTATTTTGTTCTGAAAATGTCGGCGTGCAGCCTCGTTCTGTGGACGATAAACCAGGTGCAGACTGATAAAGGAGGAAATACAGTGAGTGCTGGACGGAACAGTGAGTGACAACAACCCCGCCCACATTTAAGAGGACTGTTTGCAGTGGAAACTCTAGGGTCTAGGTACGTCTGAAGGGTTTCTGTTGGTTCCAAAGGTACCATACTGAAAGTGTTTGGTGGAAACAGGGCTCAACACACTGCAGCTGACAGAAGACACTTTGTAATCCAACATATAACAGCAGTGTTTTTCGAGAGACTTTACAAAACTACTGAATCCATCAGTGTCTTCAGTGAATATTTATCCAAAGGAGTTGTTGTTGTTATGTGAGTCTACTGAGGGCAAGAATCTATCCCGTGATGCATTTGGTCGAGTGTCGACCAATCAGAGGCTGTGTATCTGTGTGCATACTTGAGAATTTGGTGTGGTGACTGATTGTAGAATAGATGTGTTATTTTTCAGGGTGAAACAAAGATTTGAGTCTGAAGGTGTTTTGGTGTCGATGATGTCATGTGTGACCTGTGACACCCACCTCCAGCGCGGCCTTCTGGACGGTGACCTGGCTGAAGACTCGAGCTCCGTCGTCGGGACAAACAGTCTTCAGCTCCTCCTTGTTGAGCGAGAACAGCTGAGCGCCGGTCAGCACGCCGAGGCTGGTGATGGTGCTGCACGCAGGAAGCAGTCATGGTCAGGTCTGATACAATAAACGCACATCTGCACACACCTGGACAGGTCAGTCTCTAGTCTCTATCAACTTTTTTTTTAACTGGCAAACCAAGGAAAAAATTCAAAATCAAGTTTTTGACATCCTACAGTTTAAAATCACTAAAACCTCAATGTTAAATAGTGAAAAGCCATAAATTCAGTCATATTAACATTAAAAAAAATAAAGTATTCAGTAGTAATTATTATATTTTACAATTTGGTAATCATATGCTTTTTAAGTGTCAAATTATTTTGCCTTTTTTTTTAAACTTAAAATTCTAATTTTTACAACACAAAGTTTGACTTAAACAGTCATCACTTTTGTTTTATGTCACTTTTCTTACTTCCAATTCATAACTTTGAATTTGACTAAAATATATATATTATACATATATCAAAATAAGATGTCTGAGTATGACGGATATACAGATTAAACTGACAGACTGTCTGTGGATACTCACACTGGGCTGAAGCCTTTGGCCTCTAACCAGGCCTTGACGTCGTCAGGTGATGAGTCGTAGGTGATGCTGTTGGATGGCAGGCTGCCGCTGCGAGACGGAACCTGAAACTTCTTCTGAGCGCTGCGACCTAAAGTCAATCTGTGCATCAGCTCGTCCTGAACTTCCTCCATATTGGATTTCCTGCCTGCAGGAGAGGTATGAAAACATGTCACTGTACAGAGTGTTGACAATCAATGAACTGTCCTTATCTGATAAATATGATTATCACTGTTGGAGCCACGAAAAGGACGAACAATTTGAGACTTTGTGAAAATGCTGCAGTGTTATGATAAATAAATTTTAATATTTTGAGTCACAATATTTCAAGAATTATTAAGCTCTATTAATATTTACAATGCTCAATGCACAAACTAACAACCTGACTGATAAATACAATGTATTGTTCTCAAAGGAATATTTTCCTCCCACTACTGTGACTTTATTTTCATTATGATTCCTCAAATTTAACACAACTTTCCTCTTTCAATATTACAACTGTATTCTTAAAATATCACCTTTACTTTTTAAACGTCATGTTGTCAAAATAATATATTGTTCTTGAATATTATTACATAGTTTTTTTCATTTTCCAAATATAGTGATTGTATTTTCAAATATTCTAATTGTATTTATCCAATCGATTTCAGTTCATTCACGTTCACGATTAATCATCTTAACATACTAAAGTTTGTTTCGGAGTTCCACAAGGTTCTGTGCTCGGGCCAATTCTATTCACTTTATATGCGCTTCCCTTAGGCAACATCATTAGAAATCACTGTAAATTCCCACTGTTATGCCGATGATACACAATTGTATTTATCAATAAAGCCAGAAGAAATAGATCAATTACCTAAACTTCAAAAAGGCAAACTGTGATTTGTGATATTGGGTTTTATAAATAAAATTGATTGACTGATTGACTGACTCTTTTTTATGTTTTTAGACACTTAAAGAAGTGTTACTAGATGAATTAGGAAAGTATAAATAAAACCTAGAAAACTAAAACTCAATAACTAAAAAAATGACTTGATGATGAGGAGTTTTTTGTCTGAGATGTTTTTAAAAATAAGATTTTTTTGTAGTGTACAAACTGAGACATCATTCATGCTACAGAGTTTCTGACTTGGACTCACGGTTGACGGATGCAGGCCTCTGGTTGTTGTGGTCCCTCGTGACGACGCTGCTGTTGTCACTGGACGTGGTGCTGTTCTGCCGACTGACTGCACTGCCGCTGGCGGCCAGCTTTGGGGGCTCGGCAGCTGGAGGAGGCAGCGGCGGCGTGGGGAGCCTGGTGGGGGCCGGAGGGGGCGGTGTTGGAGCAGGAGGCATTGGAGTCGCTACTGGTTTACTGGGGATGTAGTCTGTCCTGGTAGTCTGCTTCTAACAGGTGGAGGACATGTGGAGGTTTAATTCTGATACTTGGAGACACATTTTATTTGGGTTTTAAAACACTTAAAGCCAAAACAACAGAAAATGCATCACCATCCGAACACTGACAGATTCACTCGACCGTCTGAACCTTAAATATGTGAAATTCAATATCTGTTTGGTGTTTACCTCGTTCAACTCTCCCAGTAATTGCTGGAAACGTGAAATGAAATGAAAAAATGAAACATGGTGGTGATGAAACAAAGTGTTTTTATTCACAGCAAGAAATTCACTGCAATTAAATCCACGAAAACCAGCTAAGATTTCACTAAAAATACAGATTCAACCCTAAAAAACACTTCAAGGAACAGTCTGACATTCACAATAATCCTGTTAGCCGTCTAATCAACAACCTGATTTGAGATCCAGGGCGTACTTAGCCTAGCTTAGCACAAACACAGACAACCGACACAAACGGAAAACTGTTAGCAAGTTTAGCTACAAAACAGAGAGTATAATGATTTTATGGTGGCTATAAACATATCTAACACCATGCTAAGTGTTGGCAGCCTGTTGAGTGTAGCTAGCACATCTGATTTTATAATCTGTTTGTAGCTAACTGATGCTAGATCCCAGGATGTGTTTAGCCTTGGTTAGCAAACAGACTAGCTAGTTGACTCTGTGGAAGCATTAGCTGTAAACAGTTAGCATATCCAACATTATGCTAGGTGTTTCTAGCTCACTGATAAATAGCTTGGTTGTAGCTAACCAATGTCATGACAGGCCTAGCCTATCTTAGCACAAAGACAGAAAGCAAAGGGAAACTGATAGCAAAAAAACAGCTGACATTATGCTACTGTTTGTTATTGTAAGATAGTTGCCATTATGATAACTACAGGGAGCAAATCCAACATGTGGTTTTTAACTGGCAACTTGATACAAATGCTATTAAAACTCGTGTTATTTCAGAGGTTTGTGGCCAACCACAGGCCAGGTTTAGCCTAGCTTAGCACCAAGACTGGAAGCAAGGGGAAACTGCTAGCTGTAGCAGAAAAACAGCCAGCATATCTAACATTATGCTAGTTGTTAATAGCTACTGTTTTTGTAGCTCACAGAGCATATCCAACATTATCAATTCTGTGTGTAGCTCACTGTTGTTACATAAAGCTAATGTTATGGTGATTGTTGCTAACAATTAATGTACTAAGACAGGTTTAGCATAGCTTCACACAAAGACAGGAAGCAAGGGGAAACTGCTAACTGTAGCCAAAAAACAACAGCTAGCACATCTAACACCGCTCTAGTTGTTTACAGCTGCTGTTTTTGCAGCTCCATACACAGAGCAAATCCAACATTATAAAATCTGTTTGTAGCTCACTGTTGTTACAGCTAATGTTACGGTGGTTGTTTGTAGCTAGACTCACAAGTCAGTCTTCAGACGCTTTGCTTAACTAAAGACTGATGTCTTTCTCCGTGATTTTGTGTTTAGATGGGCGGATACAATTTCAGAGTTTAAAAAAAAGCTCCCTACGTTGCAGAACCAATAGTAAATCTGCAGGGCGGTCCTTCGGTGGCTCGCTGAACTCTTGTGCTTGTAAACATAGTCCGACTGCGTTAAAAGTTTTAAACAAAGTCGCTGTAAGTCCTTCATTTCCACAATCTTGTGGACTGAGCACACGTTTGATAAAACAGAGTTAAATCTCTCGGCATCCATTTTCAAGCTCTCTGTGTGTTTGTTTCCTTGCGGACGAGAAAAGGGGGAGCGCACATTTCCGGGAGGGCGTGTCCTTTTCAAAAATGTAAGAGGCGTTGCTTTGTTGCCGTCTGTTTTCTCCAGTGTGTTAAACACACTTTAGAAAGGAGTGTCCCCAGACTATTAAGGCGGAGATCTCTGATTGTCTGGTGGCGAGACTAGTTTGTAGCTAACAAGCATTATAGAAGGACAGGTTTATAGCTTAGCTACGCACAAAGACAAGAAGCAAGGGGAAACTGCTAGCTGTAGCTGAAAAACAGCTAGTATATCTAACATATGCTAGCTGTTTGTAGCTAGTTGGTGTTATGGTAGCTCCATACAGGAAGCATATCAAGTATTACAAATTCTGTTTGTAGCTAATGACTGTTAGCTTAGCACAGAGACTGATAGCAGAGGGAAATTGCTAGCCTCAAAATGGAAAAATTCCACCTTCCAGCACTCATTCACAGCGATTCACGTTGTTTATTAAACATATGTACACCAAGTAGTTAGCACTGGAGCTATTTGTTGAGTCAAAAAATATAAATTAATCTTTGTCCAAAAATGTGAGACTGTTCCTTTAAAAATTTCCACTACACTAAAAACTCTGCACGCTAAAAACACTCGTTACTAAAAACAGTCACCCTACCTTGAACAACTCAAACTCCTTCTTTGGCATCATAAGCTTTAACAGTTCAAAATAAAACACATGAACGGAGATGAGACAGTGATGTGATGATGTGATGAAACTGATGAGGTGAATAATGATGAAGTGTTTCCTACCTGTATGGTGTGGCTGTAGATGGGCTCTCCTCTGCCGGTAATGTCCACAGCTTTGGTGATCTCCAGGATGTTGTTTGGCACATAGCCGGACGCCCCGCAGCCGTTACGAACCTTCCACCACTGCTTCCTGTCGTCAATAACCTGACAGACGAGATTCAGGGATTAGACAATTTGTTAGAAACTTCAATTTAGAATTTAATTCACATTTTATTGGTGGTTGTTTAAGTAATATAAAGTTTGTTTAGTTTATACAGGAAGTGAAGTCCTTGGCAGATCAATCAATATTGGGCCTGAAAAAAATGTAAATGTAATATTTAAGCATATATAAAGTTTAAATAGGTCAGCTTGTTTGTTTTGACCAGATTAAATTCTGATATTTATCCCTGATAATATTTCTGAAAGTTTGACAAAGTCATTTACCTGAGCAGGTGTTTTGATTAATCTAAATATACTGCATACATTTGTCGGGTTGATTCTGATCCCGTTCTTTTTAGTTTTTGGAATAAATTTGACTTTTTGGGGCAAAAAAATAAATAATAGTAATAAAGAGATTTTATATTCTTTACCACAGTGACATTCCTGGCACCAGACCAAACTGTAGTGAGATACAAATAAGAAAAGATGAAACTGAAATATGAAATTAAATTAAATGTATAGTTTTATGATTTTTCTAATCTTTGAGAAAAGGTGTGGACTTTGGTTGGTGGCTACAAAATTTAAAAACACAACTTTATGTCTTCAACACTCAGTTTCATTTAAACATCACCTTGCTGAAATTATAAATATAATTTTCTTTAAAAAAATAAAATGAAATAATATGTATAGTTCAGACCAATTTCAAACTGTTGCATGAAATCAATACTTCATAATCACAGAGATATATAAAAAGCAAACCTCGACGACTTCGTCTTTGAGGACGGACAGCTCCGTGTTGTTTCTTGCCACAAAGTCATATTTAGATTTGGCAAACAGTTTTGGTTGGACTCTGCTGTCGGCATCAAAACTCCTAAAATAAATCAACCAGTCAAAACATCACTAATTATTATTAATTACAATATTCACAGAAAAAGTGTATGTAGTATATGTAGCTACTGGAACAAGTTTCAACCATTAAAAGTGCAAACAGCTTAATACTTTTACAAATGAATGGAAATAAAACACAACACAATGTCAAAATATTAAAAATAAAAGATGATTTCCAATTATGAATTCAATAAGCAAATAATGAGGGGACTGAGGTATGATGGTTATGTGATGGTAATGATATTACAGCCGTGGAGAAGTGTCCCGAGTTTAGAAAAAGTTACTGAGAGAAAAAAAGATTTAAAGATGTGATTTAATTAAAATAATTCAGTTTCAGAGATGAAAAGGTCTGAGTGAGAAAGAAGAAGATCAAATCAGAGAAGAGGAAACATTTGAGGAGTTTGGATTATTGTTCTCAGATTGACGTGTTTTCTCCAGACAAGCAGAAGAACGTTAAATCACCCAGAATAAAGAGATTATTATAAATAAACAAATCAGATTCAGAACGAGGAGCTGAGAGAGTTTGTCCAGTTCAGAGGAGGATTTATATGATTTATACAGAGTATGAAAAATGTCTTATTCATCATCAACATTTAAAAGTTGCTGTTTTAAAAAAGCTTTTTAATTGACTGAGTATTTTTTACAGTGTATTTATGTCTTAGATGTTATGTAGTTATGTTTTATGGTCTCAGTGTTTGATGTGCTAAATGTATGTATCCTGTTGCTGCATGACTGCTGGCGAAAAATTAAGTTGATTGATTTTTTGACTGATGAATTAAATAATTAACATATAAACAAGTACTAAAATAAATACAAATTTGAATATATACATATTTGATTCAATAAATAATTTAAATTTAAATATCTTTGATTTATTTCTATATTTTATTTGTTATTTCTGAAATAGAAAAAAATAAAAAACCTAAATCTAAAAAATACTTAAATAAATATTAAATGTAAAAAATGTAACAACAAATTAAAACATTTATTAACTCCTGCTTTTTTTATTTTTTTTTTTACAATTTCCTTTTACCATCAATTATCGGTCATAAGTGCAAAATTTACATTTTACACAATTTACACATAACTGCATTTTAATTACATCTTAATTATACAAATTTTTCTTTTCCCTAATTGTAAAATTTCAATGGCTTTATATTATTTTTATAATGTTAGTGCCTTTTCTCTGTTTTCCTTTCCTTTGTTTTTGCAATTGACTCAATGTCATTGTAAAAAAAAAAAAAAAAAAAAAAAAAAAAAAAGAAATAAAGGTTGAATGACTGGATGAACAATTTATGTCCTGATTAATCTGAAACATGTATTCACTAATGAACTCTGTATCTATTGGTATATTTATTTATCTCCTTCAGCTCTCACTGATGTGTGTTCAGTGTTTATGTATCTAATGATGAATAAGTCACATTTCCTCCTCCATAGATTAACAGGCAGTAAAGAGCAGATCTGGGATCAGTTCTCCAGGGCATCATGTGACCTCAGAGTTACCGGTCTACGCGGCGGCTGACGGCCTGTTTAAAAGCAGCCATGGCCGATTCCTGATCCAGGATCTGCATGCGTTTGTAGGAGGTGTTTGCGAAGGCGTACCCGTCTGCAGGAGGGAACTTCTGCACCGCCGACTGCTGCACAAACACACAGGAAACATTATGTTAATATGGGATGTAGTTTGTGTTACTGTGGAGGATGTGACGCATGATGGTGCAGATATGAACCTCCAGTCTGCTCCTCAGCTCCTCTTGTCTCTGGATCTCTGCGTTGGCGAGACTCTCGGCCAGCTGTGTCAGCTCCTGCTCTCTGGACGGAGTCACAGCTGGGTGCACTGGGAACACTGGAGGCTCCCAGCTGTCCCGAAACGTCAGCACACACGGGGGGAAGTAATGATCCTTCGGCCACTCCAACCTGCACACACATCAAACAATATCTAATCTCTGTAGTTTATCAGAACATGTTGACGGTCAAAATGAAACTCTGAGTCAGAGCGAAGCAGAGTAACAGCTGCCTGCTGGGTGTTCACACTCTGACTCAATGTGTTACATTACCAAACACTGTTTTTGCAAATGTCGGGTTAATATGTTTGCACACATGAACACTTCTTTATCCATTTCTTCATTACATTTCATTAAGAAATGCAAAGATAATGTGTCGAGAAATGTATATAGACAATAATAGAGAAATAAATAAGCTTGGGGAAACAAAGGAGAAAATACAATGGGAAAACAATAAATAAATTAATACATTTAAAAATAAATACATTTAAAATAAATTTAACAAATAAAAAGTAAAAGAGAAAACTAAACAGGAAAGTGAATAAATAGGAGAAAAATACAATGGTAAACAAATAAATACATCTATAAATCAATTAAAAAATAAATAAATGGGTAAAAGAGAAAACTAAAAAGGAAACTAAATAAAAAGGGGAAAAATAAAAAAGGTAATAATGAATGAATAAATAAATAAATAAGTAAAAGAGAAAACTAAATAGGAAAGTAAATAAACAGAGGAATTAATACATTTAATTAATAAATTAAAAAGCAAATTAAAACAGAAATGCCAATTAATGGCACATTTTATTCAGTTATTAATAAAAAAATAAATGTAAAACAGGTGCAAAACAAATCAACAATAAAGGAAAAATCAACGATAATATTATAGTGTAGTAGAATTATAGCTGTTATTGACCATTTAAAGCGCTGCACAGATGTGAGTGTGCAGAAATCTTTGCTACTACAAAGGTAAAACTGACTTTTATATCAACACAGCCTCCAGTTACTGACAAACAGAGGTCACAGCAGGTCACCTGCAGAGTTCAGACCGTGTCGTGATCTCACCTGCATTTGGTCCAGCCGTCTCCTAGGGCGACCCAGACGTGTCTCTCCTCGGCTGTTCCTGAGGCGTGCAGGAAGTCGATGGCCTCTCTGGTCAGAAGAGGAACCACGACGCTGCGGGCCAGATCGACGCTGCCCGACGCCTGGATCACCTGGAGGTGGAGGACAGGTGGAGGACAGGCTCAAAGTCAAACTGACTCTTTTATACCTCAGGAGAGAGCGCAGTGGGAACTTCTGTTGCAAAGTTTTATTTTAGTTCAGAAACAAAATTAAATGTTAAAAATTTAAATTAATACATTATTAAATGATGAATGTACTTCACAGCGTCGAGACCAAAACGACAAAAAGACTCCAGAGAGTTAAAAACAAAAACATCTTCAGCTGTTTAGAGGATAAATAAATGAGTGTTAAAGAGCCGACTGACCATCCTGAGAGGAGAGAAGAGGAAGTGAAGCAGGTCGACTGCGCTCGGGTTCTGGATGTGATCCTTGAGTTTCCCCTGCAGGTCACACAAACACAGGCGTGTTCAACACAACATGTTTCTACAATCAGAGGATGAGGATGATGAAGATGATCCTACCAGCTGGTTGAAGGCGTGCTTGAACTTCTGCAGACAGTCGACAAACTCGTCCTCACCGGGAGGTTTAGAGCGCAGAGTCAGGACGCCCTCTGGTGGACAAAAATCACACAGAGCAACAAGTTGAATCAAAAAGTTTTCATTTTTAACGTAATGAAGGTGAAAAAGCTTCTGAAGCGGCGACAAGAAAGATGGAGATGCTTCTGTAATTAGCTCATATTCATATTTCATTACTTTGGATCCACAAATCTCAGCAAAAATGGGAAGTTTTGGCACTACAATTCCCATCATGCTTTTGGTGATGCACACATTCTCGACCTTGGAAACCTTCTTCTCGCTGAAGCTTTGTACCGGACCTCATGACCTCACGTGGTGAATCTGTGTGGTTACTGACCAGCTTCAGAAAAGCTTCACAAAGTTTCACAGCTGTTTTTTTTCTCAGTGACTGTTAAAGGATTAATAACATCATGCTGATAAAGGACCTGGTCTGAGATCAGCTGTGTGGTTTGTACACCCTCATGTCACCATGGCAACAGTCTGGGACACAAGTCATGTGAGCAGCAGAGCAAAGGGCCCGATGTTACACCTGGCGCAAAGCGTCACGCAACAGGGCCCAACTCTGTTAGTTTCAGACTGATGCAGGCGTCATTTTTAAAGCCAGCGTCCACGTTGTGTAAGTAGCACATAAACTTGCGTCCGTCTCTGCACTCATGGGCATGAAGGTCTTAAAGAGAGGTGTGGTCATGTGAAGTGTTGGTGTATTGTTATTTTGCAGCAGCAGAAAGCGATTCAGCCATGGAGCAACAAAAACCTGCAGCTGTATTCACAAAGTTTCTTCATACAAAGAGTTGTTCCTCGTGAAGAAATTCTACTGTGACATTTTCTTAGAATTTCCCCTTAAAGTTAAGACTAGGTCCTGGTAAAGATAAAAGACCTTACAAGAGCTCCTAAGATGAAAAACTGTTAGGAGCAGGGAGGAGGACTTTTAAGAGGCTTAAGAGAAAAATGGTGGAAACCAATCACATTTGTTAACAGAGTGCATCACACCTAGCAATGGGATCAACCACACCTCCTCACTAAGATAAAAGTTTCTGTCCCTTCCTTGCTCAGAGTTGCTCTGGGAACCTCGTAAATCACTCCTAAGCTAGGAAACCTTATTTAAAGGGCACATTATTCAGATGGTAACATGCTCCTCTATAGACAGGTTGTGAGTTGATAAAATACTACATCATTAAAAGTACGCTACACAGGATTGTCAGTTACTGTTTGCAAACACGCTCACCAGCAAATTAAAAGTAAAAGCCAACGCCAGATTCCCTGTCGTTTGGCGTTTCACCTCACTATATTTGCAGGGTTTTTTTTTGGTGCTGTGTCTGGCATCTGGTCTCTACCTTTTATATAAATCCACGACCTCCCCTGAGCACTGTGGGGGTTCACACCCATTAACATCCCAAACAGAAAAAATAAGAATGACATTGACATTCTGTAAAATGTGAATGTAGCAGAGATCAGAGCAGAGCTGCAGTCTGACTCCACATTAAGAGAGACACTGTGCACATTCACACACGAGGATCAACTTCATTCATTATTTCAAAGACTAGAAGTTTAGTTCTGTTTCCTCTGCCAGATTTACATATACAGTTTTTAATTTGTTGCTTAAATGATATTTGCTGCAGTGACATTATTGCTCTGACTGCATTACTCTCAGCAGAAAACCACTTGTACACAGCAGTGCAGCAGATGCAGGTCCACCTGGCTTTTAACAGGAGGGAAATGACACCGTTATTAGTTGTATTCATGTTTTGCACAAAACACAACTGATTAGTAACGGAACTAAATACAACTTCTCGACCCCTTGCACCTTCCTTTGCACTCAGATTAACCAGCAAAGTGGAGCTGAACTTGCCCTAAGGCCTCGTTTCCAACTGACAACGCCAGGTGCTCCTCAGGAAACCTCCAACTGAGAGCATTTGAGAACCCTTTAGAGGCACAAAACTTGTTTTTTAGCTAAGATAGTCGCGTCTAGCTGCTACGATACAGAATATTTGCAAAAGTCAACATGTTGGCACAAGGTGGTGTACTTGCTTTGGATGAGGGAAAGGCTGAAGCATGCAGGGAGTGAGGACGGATGGAGGAAACACAGAATATTAACAGATTTCTTTAAGATGGGACAGTTTGTCTCTCTTCCACTGTGATTGAATGTTGGACAAGTTGAACATTTTTCAATTCTCAGTGCGCAGACAAAAAAAGTCCAACCAGCAGCACTCAGCTCAGAATGCAGAATCAGTGCCTCGTCATGCTGCCGGCATTTGTAGCACAGCGTTGTAAAGCATTACAAGAATACACTGGCCTCAGAGAGAAAAAAAAAAACGCTTTGGTGGACCCGGGCCCTTAATGCACTTGAGACTACTAGCTACAGATTGTTTAAAAAGGGTCCAGAGACTTTTAACTCTCTAGTCTGCGTGAGATTTAAATTCAACCTTGTGAATTCATGTAAATAAATATATTGAAATTATTAGATTCATCTTTTTATCCTTGGTGGAAATCAGAGAAACTGCCGCAACATTAAAGAGTAAGTTGAGTTGATTCCATTAGTTTGTCTGTGACGTCTGTTTATTCTGGTTTCACTGAGTGCTTTGACATTTATTGTGTATTTTTAGATTTGGGGCTGCTGTAAAGTGAAACCTTCACTTCCTCATGCAGGACGAATAATCTATAAAAATGAATCACCAGTTGGAGAATAACTCCACATGTTGCTCTGAGGTGACAGAAACACTGACTGGTTTCCTGCCATCACAAGTAAAACCAGTACCCCTCCTCACCTCCTGGACCTTTCTTCTTCCCTTTCTTGACCTTCTTCCTCTTGGAGAGCTCGTTAAACGCCTCGGCAGCCTTCTGAAGTTTGGTGACGAAGAACTCAATGTCGTCCAGGATGTGGTTCAGGATTTGCTGCCAAAATAAAAGCTGTAATGTCACCTTGAGGTTTGTGTTTAACGAGACATTTATTCAGACTTTAATGATTAAACCTAAACCAACAGAGCGGAGGTCAGTTCTCTCGCCACTCTCGTATCTTTCCTTTATGTAACCAGATTTTCCCTCAAAGCTCCCGAACTCTGATTACGTTTAAATCAAACTACATTCTTCAATCAGCTTAAATCTTTTATCTATTGTCATGTGAACTTCACTGACCTCAGATTTAAATGCAGCAGCTCCACCAGCTGCTCTCAGATCAGCGACAAACATCCAACATGTAAAAAGGACAGTTTGTTTCTGACTCACCACGTCTCGGTCCACTCTGGCTGCAGTCATCTCCACAGGTCCGGCCTCTTCTGATATCTGCCGCTGCTTCTCATCTGATCACAGAATAAACAACCAATCAATCAGTGATCATAACCAATCAGATGTGTAGTTTTACAGAACATACTGAGGTTTCAGTCTGCAGCCACTAGTTGGACTGCAATATTTAATATTCATTATAGACACATTTGGGGCTGACATCAATGTTTAGTCTACAAAATATCCAGTAAAAAAGTAAAAAATGTCCCAAAATGCCTGTGTAAAACTGCTTAACAGTTTATATTCCCCAAAATATAAAATTCTGTTTGAAAACAGTTGATCAATCTATCACTTACAGTCTTGCTGCTCATTGGTCCAGGCTGACCATGCGGCTGCTCGACTCTTCACGTCCACCTGATTGGATGGTGCCGGTGGTTCGGGGGCAGGAGCAGCAGGGGGAGGGGGGATGATCCCGTCACTCTTCAAGATCATCCTGCAGACAGATGGACAGACAGATCAGCCAATCAGCTGTCAGCATTTAATGTAACCCTATAAAAGTGTTTGATGATTGGTTCTTACTTGAGCGTCTCTGGTCTCTTCTTCACTTTGCCTCCTTTGGCATCGATCATGGCACTTTCTATGTCTGCTTGGATCAGATTCGCCTGAGGAAGAATCAACAAACACATTAATAGCAGGATTAAACAAATAAAACCTTTTCAGACATGAAACTGTAACATTTCTGATTTAATTTATCTGTAAAGTCGAAACTTTTGGGCTTTAAAACATCTGTAATAGCTTTATTCTTTTTTTCTTTTTAAATCAGTCAAGGTGTACCGCAGGGCTCGATTCTTGGTCCACTACCATTTAAATTATATCTAAATGAAATTGTTCTTTTTTCATCACAAACAAAGATTTCTCTGAGCTTTGTAATAAATAAAAATATGAAAAATCATACAGAAAATATTGACCAAAAACACACATATATCAGAATTCATCGTATTAAAATGTGACTAATTTTGATGTAAATGGTCAAAATATCATAGGTCCTTTGGGTCTGGGGCTGTTTCTCTTGTTTCCCAAGGTCCTTGAGATTGTTGAAGATGTTGCACTGATCTGTAGAAATTCCAACAGTCCTTAAGGAGGCTTGAATGTCCTCGAACCTGCTGTACATGTTATTGCAGAGGTTAGAGAAGTCATTGAGGAGATGGGAAAGGTTTGTCAGAAAAGTCCCAGGGTCCACTTGGAGGTTGCAGAGGTCCTCATAAAACTCAGAGGTCCCTGAGAAGGTTCCTTGTATCCTTGAGATCCTAGAGGTCCTTGGGAACGTTATAGGGGTCTTTGATAGGCAGAGCAGGTATAGAGTTCTGAAAAAACAGATTGTGCACATCCTGTAAGAGCTTTTTGTGAAGACGTCCAGGGGGATTCCAGGAGTCCATGAAGAGGTCCAAAAGGAGGGCTAAAAGGTCCTTAATAAGCTTCCAAAGGTCTTTGAGAAGCTTGCATGAAACTTGAGGTGATCATAGGGATCTCTGACTGCAGAGGACCTCTGGGGCTCCAGGGACCCTTCAGGAGGCTGCAGAGGTCCTGAAGGATGTTTACATGTCCTTGTAAAGGTTGCGCAGGTACTTGAGGAAATTCCAAAGTTCCTTGCCGAGGACTGGATGTCATTTAGAAGATTGCAGAGCTCCTTAAGAGATTTCCAAGTCAATGACAATGTTTACAATGTTGTTGAGGAGTTTTCCAGAAGTCCTTGATAACATTGCAGCAGTCCTTAAGGAAGTCATGGGGGTCTCACAGGCTGGGGAGGCTCCCAGAAAAGATTGTGTACATCAGGATGTCATTGTGCTGAGGTCCAGGGAATTCAAGGTGTCTATGAGGAGGTTACAGGGGTTCCTATGGAGATTCCAGGGTACATCAGGAGGTTTAAAAAGGTCATTGAAACATTGCATAGGTCCTTAATAAGGTTCGAAGTCAATGACAATGATTCAAAATTTGTTGTGGAGGTTTCCAGAGGTCCTCGATCAGGTTGCAAAGGTCCTTGAGGAGTTTCCAGGCTTTGAGTGACTTCAGTGGTAACTTAGTGTGAAGCATCACTACTGTTGCTATGGTTACCTTCAGTTTAATAAACGTTGAGCTCTGATTAAGAACAGACCTGTCGACCTGATTAATATCCAGCTTGGTATCACAAAAGCTGCATTCAACATTCAAATGTTAAAATCATTTTCACTTACTGATAATATTTTTTATTAAAACGACCAATCACAGGCAGTTTACCTTGATGTCGTCACACTGGAACAGGTGGAGGTCAGGTTTGGTCTGACCTGAGTCTTTACACACCAGAGCCAAGATGGAGTCGTAGCTGCAGGCGTTCATCACAGCCTGACAGTGCTGGATCGTCGCAATGGGGAAGTTCTCCAACTCGTTCTGAAAAAAACAAGTCACAAGTTCTTTGTTTGTGGGAATAATTCAGTTTCTGAGAACTAGAAGAGCAACTTATTGTCTGGAAATATATTTCAGATATAACACTGAGTCTCACCTTCGTTTCCTGGTCGATGAGGCTGACAGTTTTCTCCTCCACCTGCAGCAACATCTCCTGAGTCCAAACTTTTCCTTTAGCATCCAGCAGACGAAGACGACGGACGCCATCGTCCACTGTGATCATCCCATCTTTACGGTCCAACACGAATGTGGTCAGGTGCTGAAGATCACACAGGAGACAATACATTTCAACTAAGTATCATGGAAACACCGCAGCTGCTCAGGGTTTACTATACAGTCAGTTTATTTGGGTTATCTATTATAAGACAGATCTACTCCAGATAAGTCAGTTGCGTTCTCTTAAAATCAAACCCAGGGGACGAACTATAAAAGAATAGTGTGAATAAGTAACAGCTTCTTAAGTGGTATCAAAATTAGTCTGCAGAGGAGAGTGTATATATCCATATCAGTATCAGTTATCTGCTAAATAAGTTGTTAAATATTAGCATATCAGATACCAGCAAAAAAATCCAATATCGTCCCATTCCGACCCACCTCCACATGATACTGCGACGTGTCCGTCAGACTGTTGATGCTGGTTTTAGTGAAGTGTTTTCTTTGTTCTGAAGGAGACAGAAGACACGTTAATAACCTTTTATTGTTCTGGTTTTAAGGTCATGTCGTCACCATTCTGTCAAACTGTATGTACGTATATACATTAAGTCCCACCAGGAAGTTGTGGTTGTGTTACTGTGCCTTTCATTGGTCTTGCTGCACTTTTATTTGCCTTGGTGCATTCTGGGAAACTTACAATGTTTTATTGTTTCAATCAATTAATCGTTTAGTTGTCAACTATTAAATTAATTGCCAACCAACCTACTAATCGATTAATCAGTTTGACTAATCTTTTAAGAAAAAAAGTCCAAGTTTTCTGATTTCAGCTTCTTAAATGTGAATATTTTCTGGTTTCTTTTCTCCTCTGTGTCAGTAAACTGAATATTTTTGGGGACAAAAGTAAACATTTGAGGACGTCATCTTGGGCTTTGGTGAAAACTCTCATCACCATTTCCTGATATGGCACATCTTTAAACATTTCTTCATAATCCTCTGAAAAAGATGACTCCAACACTTCCTGGAAGGACTGAATAAATATTGACGTACATTTTAAGTTTCACAGGAAAGAAGTTGGGAGACGTTGAGGAGATTCAGAGGGTGTAGATACAGAAACACACAAACACAAGGAAAAAAAACAGCTGGAAGAAAAAGAACAGGAAAGTCCAACTGAAATCACACACATTTATTTTTGCAGTCCAAAGTCAGGTAGACATGATTTTATTTAAAATACAGAGTATGTCTTTTGGACAGACAGATCTGTGCAACGTCACAAAGATGTATAAACTTAAGTTTCAGATGGACTTAAATGAGACGTCAGGAGAGGTGATGGTTTGGTTCGAGGTGTTTGGGGGGGGATGGTTGAGGGGTTAGAAATGTCCAGTTTATGAAACTTACTGAGGCTTTGTGAAAAGAAGCTGTGACTCCATTTGTCCGAGGAGACATTAAAGTGACCTACACGATTAAAGTAATCCATTACTCCTCAGTTAGGTTAAGAGTCAGACCTTTAAGAGATCATTTTGTATCATTCAGGTTTCTTAACATCTAATTTAAATGGTAACTTTGGTACTTTCCAATCTGGACTATAATCTTTTATGTTTTTGTGTCTAAGTGACGAATGGGAACAAAAACTTTTGAAACTGGTGCAGTATTGAGGCTGCTGATAACAGGCTGCAATGTAACCACTCTGGGTTCACACCGTCAATGTACAATCACTTAAAGTATTTGCTTTTGCCACTGACAGGCTCAGACAGTTATTCTAAGTGTCTGACAACATTATGGAAAGGATCCCTACAGAGATAGACCTTTTTGTTAAAGAGCAACATCCTTTTTGTTTAATAAAAACAGCCCTAAAATCAGCAGTTGGAAAGTGACTGAACTAAACTAATTTTATCATCGTAAAACATGCCAAGACAACAGGAACAAAGTAAAACTAAAACAGACCTCTTAGTTCACCTCTCCAATGTTCCAACAATCACCAACTCTTGTAATAAACCTTTAACTCAATCAGACAGATGTGAAAACATACCGTCTCTATACACGCTGAAATTACGATTAATTTAAATAGTGGGTTTGGCAGTAGCAATTTTGGAGCAGTTTCTGGTTAAACTAACAGGATCTTACTCTTTAACTAAAGCTCTATCTCTGTAGGGATCCTTTCCATAATGTGTCAGACACTTGAAATAGCAATCTGAAACAAACACTTTAAGTGGATGTACTGTATACTGATGGTGCTCTCGCTCAATGCTGGACCAGTTTAAAAAAAATGTTGTTGTTCCTGTTCGTCACTTAGACACAAATAAAAAACTAGTCCAGGTTAAAAAATACCAAAGTTACCTTTTAAAAATCCATATTCATAGTTGTACACTGAACTTTCCAAAGACGTTTGCACAAAGGACGAGACTGAAACTGAGAAGGTTTTCAGAGACATTAGAGACAGAGAGCTCCACAGGAACTCCTGATGTTGGGAGTTTTTCAGATCATCAAAAAATATTGAAGAAATACTTGAAAAGATGGTTGTAAAGTTAGAAACACACACACGCAGCAAAGGATCGACCACTCTGGGACAATTAACAGTGATTACAATTAGTCATCAACATATTAATGCCAACATATTCTTAAAAAATAATTTCTCTCAAGCAAACTAAACAACAATAATAGTAGTATAAGTCCCACATGTTGGTCTGAGCTTAAAGAGAAATTATGATTTTTACAACATGGCTCTTATTTTTGCAGTTTGGGCTAAAATATTCACATGTTGTGGTTACATTACATTTAATTTATGTATTAAAAGTGTGGTTAAAAGGAGCAGCAAGGACTTAACTACAGCTGCAGGTTTAAAACTCATCACCAATTACTTTGGTGATTTGATTAATTAAAGATTAGCCCAAACCCTTTTTCGACCTGGACCCAATTTTCTCATGTTTTTGTATCTAAGTGACCAGTGGGAACAAAGGTTGTTTAAACTGGCCCAGTACTGAGTAATTTAAGCGTGTGAAGAGGCAGCATGTTCTCACATCTAACTGGGTGAATTAAAGGTTAAAGGGGAACTAATGTTTTTTTTTTAACCTGGGCTCTATTTTCCGATCTACTTTTGTCTAAATGAGTGATAGGATGTTCAGTATGTGACATTTCTCCAGTATGAAGCTAGAGCTGACCTGCCTGCAGCCCGTGAGCGTGCGCTATATTAAATAATAGGGTACTCAGACAGCGTCAAACAACGTCAAAATACGTCCACTAAAAGTGCATTTTTTTTCACACAGATAGGCTCGGATTGTTAGTATAATTATCCGATGACATAACGGAAAGGAGAAATGAACGTCTGTGTTTACCTTTAGCTGGATTCAGACATGTTCCTCTGCCTGTTGCTGCCCCCCCTCTCTCTCCTCGTCTGCTCTGCATCCTTGTACGTCTGTGTACTCCGTGTTCAAATAAATATGGGCGCTCATCAAATTCAAATGGCTTATCCAGATCCAGTTGGTCAAAATCGGGTAAAAATTTGGACATGTTTGTTGTTGCAAGTCAAAACACTCACTCAGAGAGTGAACATCTGCTCTGAAATCTCACGTCTCGTGAGATCTGAGTTGATGCAGGAAGTTACCGCTGGAGTGACCTTACAAACGCGAGGAGTTACTCTGTTTGGAGTAGTCATGGCTGAATTTTTACCCAATTTTGACCAACTGGATCTGGATGAGCCATTTGAGTTTGATGACCGCCTGCATTTATTTGAACACGGAGTACACGGACGCAGAGCTCATTGAAACTGAAGAGCGGACGAGGAGAGAGAGGGAGCAGCAACAGGCAGAGGAACATGTCTGAATCCAGCTAAAGGTAAATACAGACGTTCATTTCTCCTTTCCGTTATGTCGTCGGATAATTATACTAACAATCTGAGCCTATTTGTGTGAAAAAGGCAGGTCAGCCCTAGCTTTGTACTGGAGAAATGTCACATATTGAACATACATAGATCGATAAATAGGGCCCAGGTTGAAAAAAACATTAGTTCCCCTTTAATTTCAACCAAATCAGAGTTGGTGATTGTTGGAACAGCGGAAAGACGAACCCAGATGGTTTCTGTAAGTTTTATTTTTTTTCTATAGACTCTGGAATTAAGTGTGTTTTAAGTGTGCTGTTTCTGGTTAAACAAAAAGTCTCTTACTCTCTAAAAAAAAAGCTCTATCTGTGTAGGGATCCTTTCCTCCTTTAGTCAGACACTGTAAATAACAATCTGAGCCTGTCAGTGACAAAAACAAACACTTTTAATGGAAGTGAATTCCCGGTGTCATTTACCCCGAGTGGTTACATCACAGCCTGTTTGGCAGCTACAGACTGCAGCCCTCTCACTTAGTACTGCACCAGTTTGAAAAACTGTTGTTCACATTTGTCACAAAAACGCAAAAAAAATGGGGTCCAGGTTGGAAAAGTTTCCCTTTAAAGTACAACACTACCTACACAAAGCGAAGCTTTATTAGATGATCATCTGGCTGTTTAATGGAGAAGTCCACCATCGAAATCTAGTTTTAACTGGTCAAAACTGAAGAAACACTTGTTGTATAAAGAATAACTTGATCTATACACGTGTTTCTGGAGTTTTGAATTCTTCACGTTTTTGGAAGAAGGTGAAGTTGGTCCACAAGTTTTGAGTCTACTTTAAAATCTTCTTGTTGTTTTTTTATTTATTTAATCTTTATTTAAACAGGAAGTCCCATTGAGATTGAAAAGGTTAACGAGGCTGTGATGTTTAATGTCTCAAATTCACAGCTAACAGCACAAAATAAGAGCCATGCTGTTAAAACAGAAACACACAGACACAGATCACACTCGGCTCACTTTGACTTTTCTTTTTATGTTTGGCAGACGAGCGAAGGAAATAGATTTCATCTGATCCTGTTAATGAGGACACGTGTTAATGAGAGACAAGAAGTGATTCATGAACCATCCACTGGAAGGAAAACAGCAACAAATGTCTCTTCACACACAAGCACTCATTTCTGATTGGTCCAGAGAGATGACAGCGCAGCCAATCAGGTGAGAGGTTTCCCCTGCTGTGTGTGAATCATGTGACTGATGAAGAGTGTGAGTGTGTAGTGGAGCTGTGGAGTTAAAACACACTGGTCTCATGTCACAGTAGCTGCAGCTGTCAGATAAATACAGAGAAATAAAAAGAGCATTAAACTGAGGAGCTCCACCACAACTAACTAATGATCAACATTTCATCTGTTTTTTCCAGGAGAGAAAAAGGAATTCTAACTTGGTTTGTTTTCATGGAAGTGTTTAAAAAATGCCCGATAATAATGGTCGATGTGCCAAAAAGAAAGTAACTAGGTGCTTAAGTACAGTACTTTCCTCATGTACTGTACTTAAGCACTAATGTGAGGTACTCTACTCGAGTATTGTCATTTTATGCTTCTTTACACTTCCTCTACATCTCAGGGGTAAATATTGTACTTTTTACTGCACTACATTTTAGGGCTGCTCCCTAACAGTCGACCAAATGTTAGTCGCCCAGAAAGGTCACTAGCTGGCAAGATTTCATTGGTCGCTTAGTCGCAGAAAAAAAAAAAAAAAAAAACTAAACTGAAAAAAGAACAAACGTGAAACTCTATTAGGAGCTGCGCCTTGTCAAAATAAATCCAAACCTATATGACTGGACCATCTGGGAATTTAATTTGAAAGGACAGACACAGGAAGTGGCCACGCTTAGCAGTCAAACAGGAGTCAGGTTACAAACCAATCACAGCCGACAGATCTCTTTCCCTTTTTCTGTAAATATTCAGTCTGATAAATAAAGTTGATCATGTTAGTGCAGGGCTACCCAGAGCTTTACATCTGTCCCACGGACAACAGGCCTTCACACTTATAAACAGTGCCTGAGTGAAGATCAAGATTAGAGTAGCACCCAGCGCCTAACCCCGAGTTTTCCAGGCAGTTAAAGGCATGGCATGTGTACGGCCCCTAATTTCCAGGGCTGGCACACTAATATAGATGAAGATATCCAGCAGGGATAAAGTCAGATAGAACACGAACTCACCTTAGAGAGCTTTGGCACTGGACTTCTTGGCTTTATTTTTAGGAGGCTCCGGAGACTGAGAGCCATGGCCGCTGAGAGAAGAGGGACAGACACAGAAGATTCAGTTAGTCTGCAGATATTTCATAGATTATTTTAAACAGAAGACTGAGAGCCATGGTCGTGAAGAGAGGCACACACAGATACAGTTAGCATGTATATGTAATTTTAGTCTTGCGACCTGCCCAGGGTGTAACCCCTTCTCTCGCCCAGTGTCCGCCATGACAGGCTTCAGCCCCCCCCCCACGGCGACCTCTAACAGGATTTATGGTTAAAGATGATGAATGAATGAATGAATGAACATTTTGTTTCACAGCTCAACATCAAACTGAATCTGACTCATGTTTCTGCTCTCATCAGACCGCTCTCTGAGTTGTTATTTTGGGACACCTCAAACATTTTAGACTGCGTGTAACCATGGCAACAACACTGATGCTTTACACCAGAGGGTCTGAAACTGAAAGGTGTCTCCACAGGAGGACGAGGAAGAGGAGGAGGAGGGAGGAAGTAGAAGAAGGACTTTTTATGATGGCAGAATTCTCCTCAGCCCAGGGTGTCTACAGGTATCAAACACTTAATGTTTTTTAAACATTTTCAAGATCATTTTAACCAGATTTAAGACTGATCTTTGGACAAATCATCTTTTTGTTATTTAAGCATTGTAGGTAAGTATAAAGGTCGTGCATGTGGTCCTGTGCAGAGGTCAGTTTTATGCAGGAATATGGTTATTAGACTGAGTTAGGTTAATCTACATTTTGCCCACAGGTAAAAACAACATGAGGTAAAGTTTGGGTTAAAAGAAAACGACTCAGAGAGCTCGACTCATTTTGACAAAAATAAATTTAAAGGTGGATAAATTAAATTACATAAAATGTTTGTGGCAATTAAGAGCTAACAAATTCTTATTTAACACTATTTGATGACTTTTAAGGCCAAATGCACTCTGCCTCATTCAATCTGTCAACGTTAATAAACCGTTACTTTCATTACTGATTAAACCTGCTGATAATTTATTCTTTCATATACAAAATGTTAGAATTTTTAAGACTTTTTTTAAATGCCTCTCCTAATGAAATTTAAGCCAATGCAACCAATTTTACAATAGCCAGAACTGAAGGAAAACCAACACCAATTTCTCAGAGTTAGGGACAATTTTGCCTGAATATCTATTTAAACATAAAACATCATTTTGGGGGAAATACCTGGCTTTTCTTGGCAGCTTTGTGTTTCTCCTGGTATGCATTGCCTGATATTGGTTTTAGCCATGTCAACGAGTCTTAGTTAAATAGATCATCTAAATTGAATTTGCACCTCCCCATGTCGTCCAACGTACAGTGACAGCTGGCTTTGAGCATCACGGACAGAAACAAAATATGAGTGTTCCTGGCTCCACTATCCTGATCTGTGTGACGTTAAAGTGAGACAGTCAATAAATTATTTAAAAAAAATTAAAAAACAGTTAAAAAAAAAAAAAAACATCATACAGATTGTTGGATAAGGTGGGGAAATACGATTTGAAATGGGGAAAGTACCACACCTATACGTTGGGGTCTGAAAGTGTGTCCAGCTCATAAATAATTAATTGTATATTCTATGGTATAAACTTTTAAAATGTATACATGTATGATATTGCTGCGAACTAATTTACTATGTACTCTGCACAACTCAGCACTAATCTGTTTTTTTTTTTATTAATTAATTAATTTATTTATTTTTGTTCTTATTGGTTGTAGTACATTTTTTGTTATCTGCTCTTTTTTTTCCTTTTTTTCCCCCTCTTTTTTTCCCACCTGTGTTTTGTAATGTTTTATTTAATTTCTCGGTTTTCATAATATTATTTCAATGGGTAGCAACATAACTGAAATCTATGCATTACTGCATTGAATGTAAAATATGTACCCTATGAAAAGAAAACACAATAAAAATTTAAATCACAAAAAAAGCGTAGTAAATAGTATGGTTATGTGGGTATTGGAATGCACGGTGAAAGTCTATGGGAAAAAGTTGTTTTTGGCCCAGTGGCATCAAGTCACGGACCTGGAAGTTGTAGTTACATGGTTAGGCCACCATGTCAAACTGGCTTCAAAGTCTGGTGTATTTCCTGGGGGCCTGGTGGACCCCCCAATCTAATCACTTTCTCTTGCACCCCTCCCAAAACAAACTAATAATCAGATCCAACATTTTTATGAAGAAGAAAGAGGAAGTAAAACAACACAAATACTGTAGAATGGTGACACACTGCAACTCTAAAAGTTTTTTATAAATTACAGTCATGGTTTAGAACATGCGCTTCAACTAGACTTATTACTTATTAACTTATTTAGTTTTACTGAATTTTTATTATATTTTTCTCAACTACTAATGGATACTTCTATGAAGAGAAGAGTTTATTCAAGAGAGCACCCTAAAAAATCCTGGGTTAAAATCAACCCAACTTGGGTTTTTTTTTAACCCAACGCCTGGGTAACTATTGGACCAACCCAGCAGTAGTTAATTTGACCCAACAAAATGGGTTGTGCATTTTAACCCAACAAGATGGGTTACACATTTAATTCAAATTCTGGGTCAAATTAATTTCAACCCTGGGTAAATTCTACCATATGGATTGGTTAATTGTTATACTCAAATAATGGGTCAAATTAATTACAACACTGGGTATATTCTACCATATGAATTGGTTAAATATTATACTCAAATAATGGGTCAAATTAATTACAACCCTGGGTAAATTCTACCATATGAATTGGTTAAATATTATCCAAATTATACTTTATATAATATTCCACCCAAATGCTGATTCATATAAACTGCAATGGGATAATTCTACCTCAAAAATGGCGATTATCGTGATGTTGTGTTTTACTGTAACAGAATACCCATGTCTCGTAAACAGTTAAATTACAAACCCTCTAAAATACATCCTATATTTGCTCATGCGAATATATTCGGGTCTTAGGGTCACGGCCTTAAAAGTTTGGAAACCATTGCTGTAAACAAATTTGAACACTATACACAGCCGGAGAAAAAAAAAAAAAAAAAA